TGAGTCCGAGTTCCGGTGGGAACAACATCACTCACTGGGAAGCAGGTACATCCAGCTGACTGGTGAGTCCCAAATAAGACAAAATGCGGATTTTGGATTCCACTGCTAACCACTGCCCATCATTACTATGCATAATTATAATGATGATAATAATAATGATAATCGCTTTATTCTAAACAATATGCATGACAGTGTGGATTTTTCAGCATGTAATTTTTCAACAAATTCACTCCCAGAACAAGAACACTTTCAGATGAAATGGTTATTGTATATGTATAACGTTAATAATAACAATATTCAAGGCAATAATGTGAAATAGCCAGCTGATTCCGGATGGGCATCCGATCCATAGTGAAGAATCAACAGAAATGCAAGCATAATTTTAGTAGTGGCGGTTCATTCGAACCGGTACAAAAATCTGTAACCACCCAAATTAAGCCTCTAACGTATAGAGATATAATGTACTTTTGTGCACTGAAAAGTCTGTTTCCATATAACGTAACATTTTTTCTCTGCTTTGTGATGGACTCAAGAAACGGAGAGTTGAAAACAGTTTAAAAATGTGCAAAAGTACACGATAGGTTCAAAGGACATCTTTGTATGAATAAAAAAAAATAGAAAGAAAATAATTTGATTGAAAATCTCCGGTGGATAAATTTGGTAGCCCAAGGTTCAAGCGGGCTACCGAAGTGAGCTGTCAATATTTGTCCGTGAGTCATTTAGTAACCTGCCCTGACCCACTGGTTTGTGGTTGATTGTCTCCGTCGATTGTTGCTTCACTCACTGTATAGTTTTCCTTTTGGGTGTTTTTCTGCCTGACCTCTGACCCTTCTGTCGTTTATCATTTTTCTCACTGGTTGATAGATTGGGTCTGTGTCTATACATTTATTGATTGATGACTGATTGACTGACTGACGTGAATGCCAAGCTTCTAAGAATTCTCTGATGATATTCTTTGTGTTTCCTCTCTTCATCAAACACTTCTACATTGTCCAAATTGAATTCATGTCCATAGTTGTTGTTCACATACATTGAAATGTCGTGACGTTTAATAGCCGATTTGTGTTCATGTAGACGAAGGGGAGGGTGGGCGACCGCTTTGTATAATGTAGAGTTGACTGCAGGTATTACAGTTGATTTTGTAAATGATATTGGGTTTGTCTTCTTTGGTTGTTGCATCCTTTGGTCTGGATAATAGTGTTTGGAGGGATATTTGTTGGTTTGTGAGGCGCCACAGGAATTCCAAGTAGTCTCAGTCATCTTGTCAGAATTTCTTTATGTGTTTCCGCATTCCGCAGCGACTTCCAGCTGCTGCATCATGGTTTCAAAGTTTAGTCATTAACCAGCCATAGCACCGTAGGTTTAGCTAATTACCTACCACACGAATATGTAGAGGGTTATTGTGAGTATACTTCAATCGATTAGAAACCCTTTATATGATAAGATGTGTCAGTTTCTCCTTGAATTCGGGATCTTTTCACGTTGATATTAGTACGTCATAAATACAATACATAAAGGATGTGTATAGTTGTTATGCATTTCCAAAGTCATCGATTAATACTGGGAAGGGATTTTCATCTCAGTTCATAACTATTCGAATGAAAACCAGGTGGAGCTGTAGTTTCTTCGTCTAGATAGTTGACTTCCAACCACCAGGTTATGGGGTTCGAACCACACTCTACCTATTGAGGTCCATACAGCCAGGTAGTATCATTATCCTTCACATATCAGGTGTGTAGTTCATTGTTGACTGGATGAAAGTGTACAAGATTTCTGAGTGGATTTTGATTCGATTCAACTGGAAGCCAAGGTGTATTGATCAAATATTTAGTTGTAAGAAAAACTGGTTCACTAGTCTCTCATCAATAACCAACTTATTAAAAGTAACTTCGAAGTAATCGGTCACAGCTTTGAATATTTTTCCATTGATAGAGGTATGAGGATTATATTAATCTTGGTGATTAGCAGAGGAATCCAGCTTGACGCCCTTTTCGTCCTATTTGAGACTCGTCAGCTAGATGTACCTGCACCCCTATGCCGAGTGATGTTCTTACTGAGGCTTGAAACCAATCCGCTTCGCTTCAAATGCCAAAGCATTTTCCATTAAACCACTAGGGTGCGGTAGCCACCTCTTGTGCAATGGGTATCAGTTGTTGTTGTTGTTATGATACTTGTAATTTCCCGTTGCTATACAGGGCTGAATCACTCGACCTTACCTGAGGTACAGGTACAACCAGCTAACGAGTCCCAAGTAGGATGAAACGCGCGTCAAGCAGGATTCCTCTGCTAGTCACTAAGATCAGTAGTTTGCATGATTCATCTGTATATACACAAGTGAATTATCTGATCACAACGGGATTATTTCCGAACTATAAAATCTTATATAAACAAATGAAGGGTCAATAGATTTTCATGAACTGAGCTTCGCATTAATAAAATAACATATACATTGCAAGATGTGAAGTTCCTGGGTTTTGGCTAATTTAGTTAAACAATAAACATTGTTACACTTCACCCTAGAATCCCTTTAGATGTGTGTGTGTGTGTGTGTGTGTGTGTATTGTATGAAAAACAACAAGAAAAGAGGAATGTAAATAAAATATACTTCATTTTTTCCTATAATATAACAAAGAATGTGAATCTCTTTGGATTCAACTAGACATTTTCTTCAATGATTAACATTAGAATGGATCATAAAAAGTATCCAGTTTTAAATGTCAGAGTAAATCAATGCAAAATTTATAGGTTATGCAGTAGGATGTAATCATAGGGTAGTGAATGGTTATCCTTGAATTACGTCATATGACTTACATGTGATAGTATCTTCTCAATGATTCACAATGTGATACTCATGTGATTGATTGATCAAGTATTATATAGAGAATAAGGATTAAATGTTAGTTTATGCTAGACTGAGATAGTGTTAGACAGATGTTACACACACAGAACGATCACCTACTTCTACATATGTGATGTTAGTCGAAGTAAAATTGATTCAAAAGAAGTTTAGAGGTGATATCAGTTCATGAAGTCTTTGACTATTTATCAGTCTGAGGCTCGTGTAGGCTACCTCCGGTTGGGATCCTGTAGAGGATAGGAATCAATGTTTTGTTGGGACTCTTGGTGGTGAGATAACTGAATATCGATTAAGGTAGAAAATATGTGTACACTTGTCGTCCATTTATTCTGTAACTTGCTGCATACCTTGTAGGGAAATATTTCAGCATTTAAACATAATCACTACAATATCTACGATTTAGTGGTATGAAGAAAAGCGAAATTTTGCTGTATGACGGGATTCTAAACGCCTTACCTTGTTACTTGATGTGCTGATATGAAGTGTGGCAATGTGGATCCTTGTGCAGTAGTACCTGTTCTGATCTGTGAGGGCGAAATCATACTGCTGACTAGATGGAAATGTGATATCGGTAAAGTGTTTCCCGAGGATGTCCAGTAATTGTCACGTTGATGCTGCCTTCCCTAGTGGAGGAGAAAGGGGGGTTAGAAAAGGTCGACAGTAAAAGTAGCACACTCTTCACTATCCTTCGACATGCAGATGCCGGGAACCTTTGTTCATCGTTGGATTCAAAAGCAACAAAGTTAGATCTCAAACTTACGAATACATCCTGTATGACCGGCTTCATGGAGATGTCCCTTAGTCTTTTCGGTCACGCACTAACCCTTGGTTTTTAGGTACCTTAAGAAAACCTGGCCTTCCGTAATGTAGGCAGCCGGGAAGTGTCAACCACCTCCGCAACTCTGTCCTTCTTCAAGTTATCAACATTTTTACTACACACTTCTGTATGGAATATGTTTCAATGCGTAAAACGGGTAAAAATTAGACAAGTGTAAAACAATAATATAGTTCCACCCTTCTTAATGTTTTCTATTACTTCTTATTGTCAATCATTTATGCATATATGAATCAGGTTATAGCGATAAAGACTTTTCTTATTGAAAAATATTCTTTAACTAATCAATACTTGAACTTTTCATGTACTCTTTGAGTGATTGACAATGAACAGGTGGATAAAAAAGGAGTGATATCAAAGTGGAGAAAGCTGTGTGGGAGGAGATAATGGTTAAGGCAAATATTCAAGGTTTGTAAACTACCAAACAGTAAATACCACAGAGCGATAGTGACCAATTTTCAGCCGTTTTACACATAAAGTACTGTCAACTACTGATTCGTAACGTCTCGATAACTCCAGCTAGATAGTCTACATCTCCTCACACAACTTAGACGGACAGTCAAGGACTTCGTCGACTGGTCCCATGTCTTGGTCTGACCACCCTGGGCCTTCTTCTAACCTAATCTATTTCAGTAGACTAAGGTTCACAACCTCATCGCCTAGTACTATTTATCTGACCTTAACAACACTGCTGACATGGTGATTCCACTAAACACGAACAATAGTATGAAGACCTATATGACCAAAACTTTTTGACCACTTTATGTCTTCAACTTTCATATCTCACAGGCCTGTAACATGAGAGAACAAACTGTAGCGTAGTAGATACTTTGATATCCCGCCAGTTGGCACTGCAGACGAGTTGCGATTTCGTCAGCAACGAACCCGTACGGGGTGATGTGACTCATCAAGTAAGTGAAGTGATCGATGCATTCCAATGCTTCGCTTCGTATCCTTAAAATAGGCGTAATTGCAGGCCACCAAATCAATAACACACCAGCCAAGGTGACAGAACATAGTCGAAATGTTGAATGTGATTTTTAACTACTTCTGGGTAGTTTGTTGATATGCAACAACTGCAGATAACATACGTCGGTGGAATGAAATACGGATGTATTTAACATTTTTGAGAGTCGTAACTCGGCTAACAGGAAAACACACAGCGATGGCGAAGGTCAACGGAGTTATATTTGTGTTTAACTCGATTGAAAGATCACGTTTCTTTTCTCTTGTTCTGTTATGGAAGTTTATCAGTTAAAATTTGTTCTTTCCCCCCTTTTCTTTGCTTGTTTGTTTTTTTCACAACAGAGGTTTTAAAAGCCACATATCTTGGTCGACAGGTCGCTGTAAAAATTTATAAAAAGACTGCATCTAAATTGGCTATAACGTATGAAGCATCACTTATGATGTAAGTATTCGATAAGATAATTACTATATATGTTAGCCTGTTATCTGTTGCGTAACTGTCGTCTCACGTTCCTCGTGTTTGATTTGTGTGTGTGTGTTTAGGGACGAGGGTAAGTATAGCTTCCTCTGTCTGTATGTTTTGTTTTATTAAATGTTAATTGAATGGAGGGGATCAGTAGAAAACCCTGCTCGATACCATTTGTCAGCAAAGCGTAATTGCGACCTCTATGAAACCGAAGTCGTGTCTGAGATTGGAAAGCATATCACCCAGTGCTACAGTCAGAGATGTTACCAGTGAGCTATTCAGGCTGCAATTGACCTCCTGTTGTAGTACTGGGTAGTTACATGCATTGATTGATCACTGGAGGGGGTAACCGACTACTCCATGTTGTCTGATCCTGTGTGCTGGTTGAATTTCTGCGATCATTCAGGCAAGAAGACATACCGTCACGATGCACTTTGATGGATGGTAGTTGGAGGGAGGCGATAGAAAGGAAGATCTACACATTACCTAGGTTTCGTGGATTTTGGCGCTCGCGTCAGCAAGGTGTAGCTGCAACCCCTCATATAGTCAGAGACGTCAGTTAGTTTATACCACTGACTAACTAACTGACTAGCTCACTCGATACATTAGTCGAAGTAGTTTGAAGAACACTTAAACTGGTAGTGATGGTAACCTAAAACAGCTGGTTCATAGTCGAAGATCAATTAGCGCTGAACACATCGCCACCCATGGTCATTGAAGAAAAATTTACAGCACACTAGATGACCATCATATTCTTCTATCAGTATTACATTAGCACACGAGATAAGACAATATACCAATGTTAACGACTAAAGCATACAGTCAATAGGCGAACAATAAATTTGCCAACTTCGTCATCTGTGTCGCCGATCGATTAGATATCCGACTACCTATCACAGTACGAGGATACTGCGTTGCAGTTCGTTCCGTCTTCTCATACGGACGAGAAAGCCGTTAAAAGCAAAATACATGAAGCGATAACTACGTTTTGACTACAGATTTCTCCATAGCATTGCTCGTGTTCAGTGAAATCACCATGTGAGTAATATTAGGGTTAGGTGAAGGGAACTAGACAAAGACAGATAAATCTGTCGATGACGTCGTGAACCTTCATGGTTTGGACATGTACTGTGCATGCTGAGTCAGCGCCTACCTCGATGTTCAATGTTACAGGAAGTTGGATTAGGTTGGAAGAGGATTGAGGGTGACCAGACAAAGACGTGACACCAGTCAACGAAGTCTCTGACTACTGATCTGAGTCGTATGGGGAGATGTAGACTACCTGGTTGAAGTGGCCGAAACTATAGGAATGAGTGGTTGAATGATTCCTTAATCTCTCACACAATCACACACAGTCGGTGACTCATCTGTATATGCACTGTTGACCGACTCACTGTCAAATCACAAAGAATATGTAGTTTGAACTGATATTAGTCAATCAGTTGACTCCTGAGGTCGTCATCCTTCGACGACAATAAGTCAGTTGTATCACGTTGTGAGTTAAGTGACCAGTTTGAGTGATAAGTCTAGATTGGGGGTAATTTAGAAAACTTTATGACAGTAAATTCATTCGCATATGCAATGTGAGCAGCGAGAATTCATACACTTTTGAGAAATTCTCATTAAGTCATATCAGAAAATGTAAACAAGGTGGTTGAGTGAAGAGACTGTTTTTGGCGATTTCATTCACCAAGTTGTACAAACCCACTTATTTACAATTTTTCGGTCTAAGGATGTGTATGTGTATCTGCTCTCCTAAGCCGCCACTTCGCTGTGGAGTTAGATGTATCGGTCGTTGTTCGACGCAGGTTCTGTCCCAAACGGTTAAAGAACACTAACCTATATGGCTAGAAAGAGGTAAGACTACAACAGTGGATCTATATTAGAAGTGAACAGTTTGTCAACATTGGTCATTCAATTTTAACAATCACCTTGTGTTTCCAAGTTATTTAAAAAGTGACATGAAACTTGTCAATCCAGTGGCTATTAGTAGGGAGTAATGAAATCTTTTTCTGATAATCGCGTTTGACATTTTTCTCAGGGGTTTTAGTGTGAAAAGTTTTTTCAGCTATCTAGCAATGTTGTCTTGAATGCTTTCATTGGAAATTGCTTATCCAAAATCTATTTCTGTAAAATCATCGCCTTTTTAGTGGAGGCGTACATGTACTGTGGAATCACTATGTTAAAAGCAGAAGTTAGGCGTAGAGTTTAAGGTGGTAGCGGAAAGTTGGTCGGTAAAGTGGTAGACCTTTGTCAACTGGGAGCTCCTGGTCGTTGTCTACTGCCTAGAAACCATTTTAGCTGAGGTAGGACTTGTCTAGCTAAAAAGACGAAGCGTAGCCAGACTGAAACGTGGCATTGCTCCATGAAGTCTTTGCCTCTGACTATTAAATCCCATGTCGGAATTCATGTAACAGTCGGAAGAAATGCTAACAAATTGTTGGTGATGTGATTGTCAGTCGATCACAGTGGGGCGGACGCTTGTTTACTTTACATTGTTTACTCTATCCTATCTTTTCATCTTTTTTGACATATCAGTGATAGATAATGGCTAGCGTTTCGTCCTTCTCGCTACTCGTCAGCTGTATTTATCTGCCTCCTGATGAATGGGACTGTCCGCACTAATACTCGAGCTCAGGAACAATGGTTTCAAACATCACCGGGTCCCTACATCAATTTCGAACATGCTATTCACATTTCTCTTTTTTTTCTACCGTTTTTATCCTGATATACTGGTGTTAGGTGTTTAATCGTTGTTCCTTACGCGCCAACAGACTGTCTGGTCTAATGACACTGAAGTATCAGTCTTAAAATACCAAACGAGAATATACTACTTAGAGGGGCGAGTGTAAGTAGTGTTAAACTCCACAAGAACTGATCTTCATGCTTTATAAATCTATGCGTATGTAGCATCAACTGGTTAAGTGTTTGTTCAAAGTTTGATTTTCATAATTACTAATGAGTTCGTCCCTGTGTGTGTGTTTGCTGTGTAGCTGTGCTATACACAGTAACTACAGTAACCAAAATTCATTACTGTAATGGATTGTATTCAATAACTTCATGATGTGCGACTATACTGTGTAATAGTTTGAAATTAAGAACAGATTGGTCGAAATTCAATTATAGCATAGAATAATAGATTTGTATTCTTTTACTCATGTATATTTATGCATGCGTGCATGCCTGCATTCGCTAGGTACAAGTTGAGATAGAAACATCAGTTTCGTTCTAGTATAAGAGTCCTCAGCAGTGCGCAGCCATGTTCGGATGTCTGCGCATTAAACAAATCATTTATACCTCAGCAAGCTAATTTCACCCTTCCTAATGTCCAAAGTCAAATGGACAGCTGCTTTCCAGGTTTTAATACACGTGATGTATTCAATTGTCTAAAATCCTTGAACCCATCTCAATGCTTAGGTCCTGATGGTGTTTCTAGTACTATATTTAGGAAATGTTCAGATATTTTGTGTCATCCCCTTACAGATATCTTCAATGTATCGTTTTCTAAAAAAATAATACCAGGCTGCTTGGAAGGAAATCAAAATTGTATACCTGTGCCTAAGTCATCTTCTGGATCAGATGTTACATTTCGTCCCATCACTACAACTTCCCCTTTTTTGAAAACAATGGAGAGCTTATTTCTCCTTGTGATTCAGCCTTCATTGATGGTTTTCGCTGATCCAAAGAAGTTTTCTTACAAACACAGGAGAAGTACTTTAGATGCTTTCACTGTCTTGCATCATAATATTGTATCTAGTCTCGAAAAAGGTGCTAAGTGCCTTTTGGATTACTCATCAGCCTTTGATTCTGTTCCTAGACCACTTTTGTTAAATAAGCTTCCCATGGCTCAGTATGATTATAGCTATACTCTTACTTTTCTGAAAGGAAAGAGGACATTGTCTATAAAGGGAAGCGCTTGACTTCATCGCTTACTGAAACTGGTGTGCCTCAATATGCTGTAGTTTCGCCTTTTCTGTCTCCGTTCTTTTTGCACGATTTACCTCATTCTGTTGAAACAAATTTAATTGAGTATGCTGATGACCTGACGGTGTCTATTCCAGTTAGCTCTCACTTATATTGAACTGAATTAAATGGATTTTTTCTGTAGTTGACCAATGGGCTGTCTCAAATGGTCTCAAGTTAAATCCTTCTAAGTGTCAGACTGTTGATTTTAGCCTCAGGCGTAGACAAGACGGACTTGTGTGAGCTGCTTAAGTCTGATGACTCCTGTTGTATTGATGGTATTTGTGCATAGAGTAGGCCGATTGTTAAGTATCTTGAATTGAGTTATACTTCTGAGTTTTGTTGGTTGTCTCATATCTTGTTGACTTCCAAGACAATCTTTCGTTCAACATATTACGTAAACAAACTGAGGTTGTCTGGTATAAATCATTGCCTTTACTTTTACAATTTATTGCTTCCTGGATTTTACCTATTCTTGTATATTGTTCCCCATTGGTGTCTCCTGATCTTCTAAGAAACGACTAAGTTATGTTGTGTAGGTCTTTGAAAGCCGTCAGCGAGTAGCGTGAATGGTGTGCCTCTCGTTCAACTGATTAGCACTGGTTGATAGACGTTTGAATTCCAGCAAACAACTAGCTACAATAATTTTAACTGACACTGAGCATCCAATTCATCATTCACAGCTCTCCCCATGTATTTCCTCTCATGGAGGATAAGAAGTAATTACACAAGACTGTATGCTCTTACACAACTAAGTATAAGAATTCGACTGTACCTTACCTAGCACCCATATTATGTGAGGAGAAAATGGTTAGAAATGTTTTAAAGTACCCATGTATTTCGTTGTTGCTGTTGGAATATATCATGCTGAGAATTCCAAACTGTACCACAAATTGTTTGGAATAAAGTGAATTATTATTATTATGAGCTCGTCAGGAATCGAACCCAGGACTTTAAGGTTTCGTGACCATTTAGCCATACTAACTCCGTGCCCACGTTCTTCTTAACGATTGTTGGTCAGAATATAGGCTCTTACGCGGATGCCTCGACATTGCCAGCGTTTGGAGTTATATATATTACTGATGGGTAAACGCTAGCAGGAGAACTCAGTTTGACGCTCGTTTCATTTTATTTAAAACTCATTCTCGAGTTCGAATCCTAGTGGGAACAACATCGCTCACTGGAAGGCAGATGCATCCAGCTGACGAGTACCAAATAAAACGAAACGCGTTGTTAGCCATTATCCATCAGTAATAGTAAATCATGCGCCATTTTGGAATACATTTTATGTAACTCAAATATTTAACGAAAGGAATCAAACATTTCTGAAAGACAGACTAATTGACTGTGGAATAATGTAGACTCGAAACAGTAGTACTACGTGGTTCAAAGGTGTCACACATTAAAACAGCCAGGAGAGAAGAGATATACAAGTATTACTTGAATTGAGTTTGGACTATAAGCTAGACGGCCGCGTAGATAACTGGCTTACGCATTCACCTTCCAAGTAATTAGATTTCGAGTTCAAGCCCACCCCTCTCCCCTCATTTCACTAACTTAGACTGGATGTGGCTTTACAAGCACTCATACACAAAGAGTATAGCCTGCTTCGTGTTGAACTGTTTGAATATTCCAAATCTGATCATAAAAACACTTCAATGAGAAGAAAACCAATTCCCATTTGATTTCAATGAACCGCTTGGTAACAACATCGAACACTCAACTAATTCAATCCCATTGATCATATTTTGATAGGAATTATTTACTAGTCAGCTTGCTAATCACATCCAAAACTATGCACACTTAATTTCTAATACACTGAGTGACCACTCCCTGGAGAGCAACAAATTTTGTGTTGTCTAGTCCTCACTGCTGACCGACTTCTGTTCATCATATCTAGCTACAAGGCCTATCATCACGATGTCTTTCTATGGATGTTCGTTGGTTGGAGGTGATTGGTAGGAATCTGCGCTCGACATTGGGGTTTTGTGCTTCTTGGCACCAGTCGTCAGCAATGCTTATGTACAAGTTCGGCGGGAACTGATCTCTCATTTAAGATTTAAAGTTGCGTCACCCAGTGTTTCAGTCAGCGACGATACCACTGAGTTGTTCCGGCAACAAGTGACTTTCTGTATGACTGGACTGTATAAATACATACATCCGTTCGAATCAGGCTTCATTTAATGCGGTACTATAGCTTAATCGGTCTAGACATTCAACTTCCAACCAACAGGTCAGCGATGGGAGTTCGAATTCTACTCCCCTAACCAAGGTTCAGAGCAGTTAGTTACTATCATCACTAACCCTTACTCTAACTTATGGCTCATCGCTTAGGCAGTTGACTTTCAACCAATGGCTTACGACTTCGAGCCCTGCTGCACCTATTGAGGTTTGGACAGCCACAGATAATACCATTTTAGATTTTACACAACAATAGATATGGCTTACTGTCTACTATTGTACGAAGGTGCACAAGGCTGTTGGACGCATTTCGACCATTGCTCATATAATTTGCAAGTTATTACAAGGTTAGGGAAGAGAGAATGTTTCAAAACAACCCCGCAACCCCCAACTTACGAATAAATAATGTCTGTTGGATAAAATTTTATGATAACCGCTTCAGTTGTCTGAAAAAAAGACGAAGATGGACATTATTTGGTAGTCTATTTTAATCTAGTGACATACTGACTGTGAAGATCAGAGGCATTTCTTTGAAACATCGATTGTTTCACTATGCGCTTTTATCAATCAAGCATATTGCTGATAAGGATTACTCTACCCATCTACAAAGAATCTTTAAACCATTTTTTTGAAAGGGAGGTGCTTCACTTCATTGGTTACTGAAGCTGATGTGCCTCACCAGGCAGCGGTACTTTCTCCATTTGTCTTCTCATTTTTTTTCGGCATGATTTACCCTATTCTGTTGAAACTGTTTTTATTAAGTATGCTGATGACCTGATGGTGTCTGTTCCAGTTAACTCTCATTTAGATTGCTCTGAATTAAATGAATTCTTGTCTACAATTGACTAATGGTCTCAAGTTAAGCAGTTCACACCCATGACCCCTCTCCCCCACGGCTGGAACCCATCACCTTCAGGTCCCGTGGCCAGCACATTACCATTGTGTCAGTGGGTCAAAATCCCATGATCTATATTTCCTACTTCTATCAGTGCATGATGAATACCAACATAAAGAATCAATAAGTCTACACAAACCTCCAGATAGAATTATTCTAGCCCTCATTGGTGACTAACTTTGGGTGATGGTTCCCGAAGTTCCAGTGAGAAGTCGTGACCACTGTAGTCAATCAAGTTGAACATGGGAACAGTTAGTCAACAACGACATTGGGTATGGGTCACGCTATATCGTGAACTAATACACGAAGTTGAAAATTCTAGCTGTTGAATTCCGACCGAGTGGCTCAATGTTAACATACTGTCCACAGAACATGGAGGCGCACTATTAAGGCGTCTCATTGTAAGACGAAATAGTCAGCTGTCCAGTGTTCCCAGGTTCCCAATATTTCTCCAACTGATGCCAATCCATGATGAATGCCAACCTAAAATCAAATCTCTTTATTTTTTTTTTTCCTTTTGTTTTGTTGTTTCATCTCGCTTCACTCTGTTGGCTTGACACTATGGTGACTTCAATGACAATTACAATAACGAATCAATCAATGAATTAATGAAAATAGAAAGATAAATCATCCTAATCTAGTCTCATTTATTGGTTTAGTCTATGAACCAGATGATGCAGTCTATTTGGTCACAGAGTATTTGGCCAATGGAAGCCTGTTAACTTATTTACACTCACGTACACGTGATGAAATTACAGAATTGACAAAATTGAAATTTAGCATGTGAGTTATTTATTGTTTTTTGTCTTTCGCTTGCTCCTATTCTCCCTCCCTCCCTCCCTCCCTCCCTCCCTCCCTCTCTGTGTGTGTGTGTGTGTGAATATCTGAAGTAATCTTTTTCTTCTAGTTCTTTACATTCTCTTACGCCTTTGTCTACTTTGATATAAGTCCTTTTCTATCCCCCAGTCCTTTGTATATTATTACTGTGAATTGTGCCAAGTTGAGGTGATGGACTTATGTGTACGAAATCTTGTTGTGTAATCATCAGTATTAAACCGAATTTGATCGAACAATTCTTCATTGTTATCACCATGCTAGGAGGGTTGATTCCCTTTCATAGTTTCGATGAATCGATATTATTATTATTATCATTACTTTTCCCTTGGGTTCCCAGTGGAACTATAGGGCTTCAGTAGTACGCCTCTTTTGGACTCTGTTCTCTGGAGTTTTTTGAGGCTTGCTCCACTACTGCCCAGAAGTTTTCATTTCTTCCTCACACAATCTCTTCCATGTCACCCTCAACTACCCTCAACTCGTCGTTTCCCTTTTGGATTCCACTCAAGGACCTGGCGCGTGATGTCCCCAGTCTTCCTTCTCAGTGTATGCCCAATCCATCTTCACTCTCTTCTTCTGCATATTTGTTGGGCGATGGGTTCTTGGTTAGTTCGTTGCCAGATAAGAATTCCTTGTTGCTTATTCTTTCTGGCCTTCTCATGTGATCTTCAGTATCGAGTGAGCATAGGCAGTTGTTGATGAATGTCTGTAGTTTGTTGGAAGTGCTTTTCTTGACGCGCCAAGTTTCTGAACCGTATGGCAGCACTGACTTGACATTGGTACTGAAAATCCGGATCTTGTTCTTTGTGCTGAGTAGATTGCAGTAGATCTCCACAGTGATTTCAGACTAATGAAAGCTTGTCTTGCTTTTCCGATCCCGGTTTTGACATCCTTTTCTTTGACGCCTCTAAGGTAGGTGAAAGAGACTACTTCCTTTCGGTTTCTCCCGTTAATGGTGATCGGTGCTTGTTGTTGATGCTGTTGTTGGTCGGGTATCTTCATCATCTCGTCTTCTCTACATTCACTTGAAGTCCCGTTTTCGCTGCCTCTTCTGTCAACTTGGCTTTTACCTGTAGATCTTCGCGTGTGTGCAATTGAAAATAACCGGTAGAAAACTCTGCTTCACTGAAGTTTCATTGTTGGTAGCCATGTTCGAATAAGGCGATGGACCTGATAACTCCGTTTTAAAGTTCCTAACCAATATCGCCGAATGCAGTAAATAAGAATAAACGCTATGAAATTGTTTATTCTTCAGTAGGGATGATCGAATTTGTCCCTCCCCCCTAGTTATGATTCGTGGAAACTTATCTACGTCTTTTTTTCTCTCCCACCAGTGATGTTTGTCGTGGTTTAGTTTATCTTGAAGAACGGGATTTTATTCATCGAGATATTGCTGCTAGAAATGTTTTGTTATCTGGACAAGTGCCGAATTTAATCGCTAAAGTTGCAGATTTCGGTATGGCTAGAGATCTTCACGATCTATCAACTATCGGCTCGATATCACATCAACCCAAGTCGAGTAATACACCAACATTGGTAATCAGAAATTTTTTACTGACAGATACAGTGGAAAAATATCCTCCTATACATCATGATGGTCATCATCAGTCTACTGAGGTGAGCACATCACCAGCGTCATTAAATCCAATGGTATTACACGATAATGCAGCAATCCCCTTGAAATGGACAGCTCCAGAGGCTATACGCGACCGAGTAAGAGCATATATACTACTTTTTGTTATGTGTATGTTTGCTTTGCATTACTTTAACCAGATGGACTGCTTTTATCTTAAGCATTAAGGATAATCAACCTTTGGGCCGCGGGTTCGAACCCCGTATCTCTTTCTGACGAACTTTGCCACAACCATATGACATTATTTGTCTGTGACTCATTACTTAGTGCATGAAATATGCTTTCGTGAACACTGTGTTGATGACTAGGCCTAGATCCCACACACTAGTCTCAAGAAGGAGGAGACTGGCATGCTGGCCATGCTTCTCATACGTTTCGTAGTTATTCTCGCTCATCAGCAAAGTGTATATGTAACTTTGACGGATCTTATGTCTTATATGAGACTGGAACCTGCGTCACCCAATAATTCAATCACAGATGTTGCCACTGAACTGTTCGCTGTGATCGATCTTCTGTTCAACTAGATTGCTTGAACTTCTTGCCCTGATGATGATTCTCTTAGCTTGGTGACCATATTGCAACATGTGAGCCATAGCATTCGCTCAACACTCACGACTAGGCAATATGAAATTAGTTACTATCCGACGGAATGAATGAAGAAAGCGTTTACCTTATGGTTTTCAAATGCCCGTTTCAACTGATTACCGTACTTCTGTCGGCACCGACAGGAAGTATTATACACTTCGTTTCGTTATGAATGATAACCTAAGAATAAGTATTATATGGAATGGATTCTAAGTGTTGTAATGAACCTACCGTCACTAGATCTTTCGGAACCGCCTTACCCCTCACATTCATGGATTTTTCAGGTATCAACAGAAGCTAACCAGACGCTATTAGACATCTTTCCTAACGACCTCTCCATTCCTTCCAAACGGCACCAGAGCTGTCAATCAATGGGCAGTATTGAAACCATCTGGATGAAATCTCTAAGCATATATCCTCGTCACCAAAACCGGTTGATCAAGATGAACATATTTAATGAATGACGTTCTATATCATACCAAAACAGGCACCATTTCAGGCATTACTTCTGTAATGATTCCCTATGGGTGTTCACAATCTTTGAGAAATAACACTGATCAAATACATAGGGTTATCGAACAGCTTCACCTGGAAGACACCAGACTTCATAGGTGTAGAATAAAACTTCTCACACTGACGCATCACATCGTGACTTCGGCAAAAGTGATTCAGGTTTATTCACATGCCACCATGATACTCAGTAGACGACTGGAAATCTCATCTATATCACACCTTTACCAATAGTCGCATAACTATCCAGATACACGAACATTGCAACTATATTCAACGACGTTTCAGTAGGAGTAATTGTCTGCAAAACCGTTTGCTGCATTATACGTGTCTAGCTATGGTTCAATCGTTTGAAGAGATGAATATCAACTATTCTGTCACAGGTTCGAGCCTGGCTATACCTACAAAAGTGGTGTAGGCACCCAGGTAGTATCACTAGCCCTCACACATCTACAATAAGTGTGACTTATTCCTACCTATTTCACAAATGTGCACAATGGTGACTGAGTGGATTTCATTTCCGCTCGTTCATCGTTTGCATTACGCGTCATTCACCTTTATCTATGTGGGTTGTTATTAAGATGGATTGCTCACGCACGTGCTTGTGTAGTGGATAAACAGGACAGATAAAATCAAAGTAGAACCTTGCACACAAGTGAATTGGTCCTATTCATCACACTTCACAATAGTGGACAAAAAGAGTGATATCAAAGGAGACAAAGTTGTGTAAGCACGTGCTACTATATAAACTCACAATTTCCATGTTTTATACTACTTAGTAGTTGCTGTTATGTCAGAACCTTAGTGTCTAAATCTTTGACTGGGCCAAAATTTCTAGATCATATGGTATGAAATCTTTGAACTGAATTTGTTCCAGTTTACCGCTGATGAGCTCTGCTCGAAACGAAAGCGAAACAGCTGTCAGGTGTTTAGACCATTCTGATCTGGCTGTCTAGTGAAATCTACTCATCAGCCTGGGTGGTTTCTAACTACCCAAGTTAGTGTGAGTAGTAGTATTTAGACACTGGAATGAAAACGGTGACGTAGTGTAATTAATGAGAAAGTAGGTAGTTTGGTTCAGCTCTATAGGTTGAATTTACCTCGGTGATGAAATCGTTCTTAAACGACTCTTGTCTAACTTGGGAATTCTACCTGAGTAGTTTCTAACTACTCATACATATTTCAGTACCATGTCACGATTATCACCAATTCGACCAAATAAATTTCCTTATTTTGTATGATGGTTGGTTTTTTTTCCACCATTTATTGTATTCTTTCTCTCCTCATCTTGACCTTTTGTTTGTTTGCTTAACTTTTATACATAAAAAAGTTGTTTACAACAAAATCTGATGTTTGGAGTTTTGGCATTCTATTATGGGAGATCTATTCCTATGGGCGTATACCATATCCACGAATGGTAAGTTTCTTTGTTTACTAATACTATGCGTTTTGACTTTAAAAGCAAAAGTGGCTATTGTTTAGTGAGAGATGTGTAATATGTGAAGGCTAGAAGGTAGGCATACCGTCTGATCTCTATTAATTGACTGTTGCCAAACATACTTCAATCGGAGATGAAGAATATATTGGCTACAACCAAGTAACCTTAAACAGCCAATGAAATGGCTTGGATATTGACCAGTAGGAGAATAGCGACGAATAACATCCATTTACAGCCTCCACGATGAATTATTTGCACAAGGTAAGCTGTGCTCGTGAGGTGAAAATACAACTTCATATCTTCAAGATAAACTCATCACACGATCACAGATATTAACTTCACTGGTATTCAAACGAAAAAAACATCATTATCGAGGCGTCTGTCTTTTTTTCCTGGTTTCATATACTCAGTCGTTGGTTTGGGAAAGCTTGAAGAATAGGATCTAAGCAACGAGTCGCTTTAAAAAGGAAACTGTGGAGAGCTGAAATGAGGAATAAATGCATGGAAGTTGCTTTTAATTCCTTATTGGACTATCAGTTATCAAAGTAGCAACTCGCACACAAGTGGATCGCCTTCACAGTAATATGCAAAAAAGAGGTGGATAGAAAAGGAGTGATATCAAAGTAGACAAAAGGGGTTGAGAGAATAAACAGTTTGAAGATAACGGCTAGTGCAAATATTTGAGCATTATAAAATGTCTAGGAATGAATATATCTGTACCATTATGACAAGTTCTCAGTCAATTCACCGCAAATCCTCAAGGACTCCAGCCAGGGACTTCGTTGACTGGTGCCATGTCTTGGTCTGGCCGTTCTGAACCTTCTTCCAAACTAATCCAACTTTCTCTAGCATGGCACGTCGAGGGATGCAGTAGGTGGCTTGGCATGTGCAGTACGTGTCCAAGCCATCTCAGTCGACTAGGCTTCACAACCACATCAATCGATTTGCTCGTCTCACCCAGTACCTTTCACTTGACCTCCACACGCCTCATATAATGATTCCACTAAACGCGAATAATCCTATGAGGACATTTAATGCAAATCCTGTAATAGCTCTATGTCTTCTGCTTTTAACGGCAGTATCTCACAGCTTTAAAAATAGGACAGACTGTTGCGCAGTAAACTCATCCTTTGATAGTCGGAAATCTCATCATTTAGCGCTACAGATGATACAATTTAGCGAATGCCAAACGGGAATTTTATATCTGACGTGAAATTTCGTCAGTACCTATCCATCCTAGCAACGACTCCAACAGCCAATAAGGTTTGTTCGACTGGAAAAGTAGATCCTCAGGAAGTAAAGAAGTCCAATTGGTTATTTCAGTTGTTAGGGTGGGTTTTAGAATCAATCGAGTTATCCATCTGCTGTTTTATATGATAGGTGATAAGGCCTAATCGGTCGTCTTAGCTTTGTTGACTTTCGCTTACATGGGACGAGACTCCTATTTAGAGGCATTGGGAAAGTGTCTGTTACGATATCGATTGGAAGCTGACTCATTTATATGTTATTTTTTACAGCCTGCAGTCTGAATTTAGGATGTCAGCGATTAGCATATCTGTAACTAGCGTATAGTTTTCTCACGCCAACTCAATACCACTACCTCGCTTCTTCGACCTTCCAATATGACTGAACATCTTTAAAAGATTTAATGCGTCACCTAGTTTATTAAACAATACAGGGTTCATCTCATATTTCTTGTTAGATTGAGACTATATACTTGTGTTCCGGGTTCTTCCTTTCTTTACCTTGGGAAGTATAGTGTACAGAACAAGTCGGAGTTTACGGACAAGTAATGCTACTCGAGGTGATTTGTGATTCCGGAGTAAGAGACTTGGTATGGACCCGTATGCTGACAAGGATTTTTGAAGAGCCTCTTTGATATCCCTCTCCATTCGTAAGTTTAGTGAGACTCTGTACGATGTGCTCAGTAAACGTTCAGGTTAACAATTAGATTGGGAATAAGCTGGTGGTACACGAATATGGTTTATTCCATTGGGTTTTATAGGATTGGATTGGGTATATCCTTGCGTCTACCTGATGTATTTTGGTATGACGACTGGGTCTTCTGCGGAATTCATGGTTACACTAAGAGTGCTAGGCAAAACAGGCTGACAAGTCGGTTGATGAGGTTGCAAACCTTTGTCGACTGAGACGGCTTGGACATGTACTGCGCATGCCCCGCTACCATCCATCTCAACGTGCAGAGATAAGAGGTGCCAACTTACTAAGAGCCTAACTCTTGGTCTGAGCCATTTGAGGAGGTGTAGACTATCTGACTAGGTTTCCGGAAACGATGGGAATAAATGGTTAGCGCAGATATTTTCACTCCTTGACATCCTCTAACCTTTCTCTTCAGATTATGTATTCTCTCACACACAAGTTTTCCACTTTGATATCACTCCTTCTCTATCCATCTATTCTGTTAAGTGAGATGATCCACCAATGTCTGCGAGGTTTTACTTTGATTTCGTCTTGTTTTGTCTATTATTGTGTCCTATGGTAGGTTTTTACATGTGTGTTGTTTATTAGGGCATAGTGTTATGAAAAATGGAATTCTCTACAGTTCCAAAATAAGGATGGAAGATAGTGGATATGATTTGTGTTGAATAGTTGTTTTGTCGGCAGTTTTGAGTTGCCACTGGGCATTATTTAGGTCTCTGTAAGTGTTCGAATGAGTGTATATTCCCACCTGATGATAGACTGTTATTTCTTGCCAACATGTCAAGATCTGACTAAAAGTTCATTAATCGTCAGGAATCTGATGTGATCTAGCAAAGTGAGATATTAAGATTGTATTCAATTAATGACAGTAGACGAGTGTGATTATTCGTTTCTCAAGGATGATTTCATCCTTTACGTCTAAGAATGTATTTTCACTGAAATTCAAATCTCTCGTTTGTTGTAGATAGCCTAATTTGGATCCTGGAGACAATAAGAATCAGTGATTGAGGACTGTTGGTAACATGGGTAGAAATTGATCATAACGGCGCAGATGTATTTAATTCTTCGACTTACTTCTAAAGCTTGAGTATTTGCTTTTTTTCTCCTATTGTGTAGTATGGCAACTTGAAATGATGAAATTGTGTTCGAAGTTCTGCATTACTTTTTCTATCTGTCTGTCTGGTTAACAGACAACCAGTGATAGTATTCAGTAAATATATACGGAATTAGTGTTATACTGAATTCCAAATGGAGAATTTTCTAACTAACTCAGTGGAACTATGATTCATTGGTTTCAATGAAATATGAACTGCACTCCAGCTGCATTTACTAAGTTGTGAGCATTTTTTGACTTGTAACTTAGTTAATAGTAGTGAAATCGGGCGTAAAATTATTCAACTTTTAAATAAGCTAACAAACTTGTATTCATTACTATTGATTCATATATGCTTATAATTCTGCGTTATTTCATTGGGTGGAATTGTTCAACCTATATTGGCATATGGGCTGCTATACGGATGCCTCGATATTGCCTGGATGGTAATTATGATAGTTTGGTTGATTGTGGGTAGCAGAGGAATCTAAGATGCGCGTTTCGTCCTACTTAGGACTCGTCAGCCGGATGTACCTGCACCCCGGTGAGTGATGTTGTTCCACTGAGACTCGAGAATTACAAGTATATCAATAAATAGTAATAACTACTACCGGTTGTAAAAGAAGTGGCTATCGTTCCTCCTTGGCATAGTGGATAACGCTTTGGCATTTGAAGCGATGAGTACGAGGTTCGAGTCTCGGTGGGAACAACATCACTCCGGACTGGGGTGCAGTTACATCCAGCCGACGAGTCCCAAGTAAGACGAAACGCGCATCCTGAATTCCTCTGCCAGCCACAACCAACTAAACTTGTATCCATTACTTTGTTTTTACGAGATATTTACCACATAGCTGGAATGTTGTTTAGGCGCTTAATAGTGATTCCTAATGGTTCACGTTTATGCGCTAGCAAGCCAGTGGGTTTTGGAATACTCAGGGGATCTAGTCAGTCAAGTTTTCCCTCTGGTTGTTCAGATGTTTTTAATGTCTTATTAATCACAATAAAATGGTGTCTAATTCACCTAGACTCGAATTGAGATGAGAAGAATGCTTAGCTACACAACTAGTGTTATTACAATGGACTTTCAGTAATGTGTCATGCGTCTGCATGATAGGTGAACGAAAACCTCACTATAGTTGGTTGAAGTGAAGTTCAGATGTGTTGCCGGCGTAGGTCATTCGGTAGAGTGTCGGATGGCGGGGGAATCCAAAGGACTTTCAATTTGAATCCTGTCTCACGAACTCAGTGTTCCCCCCTCTCCTCATAGCTTGGTGTACTAGATTCGTTGTTAGCGAAATTCACCGCATTCCAGTGCAGCGGGAATGCTGGGTGAGGGGAGGTGCGGAAGAATATCGAAAAAAGGGATGACTATCTATGCTTCTATATTATACAGATCACAGAAGTGATAATCATTGTGTCTTATTTCCTCACGTCAAGTACTACTTCAGAGGAAATAAGACGTAACCTTAACAGTTACAACATCAGAGTATTCTTTAAGGTGACGAATACATTACACTCACACCTGTGTAAATTAAAAGATCCAATTCCTCATTTGGAACAACAAAACTGTGTTTATAAGGTAGACTACAGTGAATGCGATGCCACATACATTGGAGAGACATCACGTCAAGTACTAACACGTCTAGCCGAACACGGTAGAAGTTCCAAAAAACCACCAAAAAATTCCTATGATCTAGAAAAACTTGAAAAAAAGCTCTGCTATCGCGGCTCATGCCCTATAGTCAGGTCATAAAATAGCATTCGAACAGACAAAAGTTCTGCAAAAGAGTTTTCTCTCTCATAAAGAGCGGACCATTGCAGAAGCTTTGCACATCAGCTCATATCCTTATTCGGTCAACAGAAAAGATGGGTCAGACATCCTACTAATATGGCAAACACTAATGACTCGCCTAGGCAGTTATAAATAATATCTGAAGAGAAGGTAGATTGTCTAGTCCTATTACATAACATTCTATTGATCTACTATTTTCATCAATTTTACACTACTCTCTGAGTCATATACATTCGATGAACCATAACATAATCCATTTTGTTATCACTCATACTCCAAGTGTTATCAAAAGTACATTTATGGTTATCATTATTATTATTATCATTATTCGATCTCTGCTGGTGGGGTCGTGGGTGCGCACTGCTGAGGAGTCCCATACTAGGACGAAACAGCTGTCCAGTGCTCCCAGGTTTCCTTTGTTCCTCCAACTGATGTCAGTCTTCGATGAATAACAACTTGAAATATCATTATTATTATTTATTTAAGATGTATTGTCTCATCTTCAAATATTCATCCTTCCAAACTAGTAATCTACTCTTTCTCATCCTTGATGTCTTACAACCCCATTGTACTTTTCATAGACGAACTAAAAAATTTCTCCACCCTATTTTTGTTCCAACTTACTCGCACAACGGAAAAGCCTCTCTGACCGAGTTGCTTATTCACTCACCTGTATTACATTGATCTTTGCTCCATATCACTATGTGATTGGATGATTGTAAAGGTCACCACTTTCTGTTCCAAAACTTGAATATTAACCTGAAAACTTAGTGTCAGATTCATACTCTTGAAAAGGATGTTCCTAGCAAGATCGAAACGTTGAGGAATAATACAAAATATTTGTTTAAAGCAACTGGTCCCTTTGATAAATTTAAACAGCGTAATGAGAAGACGAAGATTATCTGAAACATGTGGATGTATTTAGCGCTATACATTTCGAACAATCTGATCACACATGGACATAAAGAGGGTTTAAATTTACGGATGACAAGAGCTTCAATAAATTTAAACCCCCTGCTTTATGTATACAAAAACAATTCGTACTCACGTTGAACCTACCTTGGTAGTATTGATTTTAATTTTCATACCAAGAGTAAGGTTTCTCTTTTTTTTCTTTTCTATCCCTTCCTATTCCTATGCTTCTCATTAACTTTATTGACCTTTTCGTAAATTTTCATATAAATAGTTCGACAAGTCCATGTGTGGGGGATCAGATTGTTCGAAATGTATAGCGCTAATACATCACGACATGTTTCAGATAATCTTCGTCTTCTCATTACGCTGTTTAAATATTTGTTTATTTTGTTATTTGTTCTAATATACTACACCGGGATAACACAAGTAAAAATACATCCTATACAATGAACTATTATATATTATTCAAATATATTTCAGATGGCTAACCAAGTATTACGTCATATTGAATCTGGATATCGAATGAAATCACCTGAAGATTGTCCATCAACAGTCTATGCTATAATGTTGCATACATGGCAAAATGAACCAAATAATCGGCCAAGTTTTGTAGAGATTTTAAGTGAACTCATCCAATTGTACAATACATCTACATCGATGTCAACAACAATGACGTCAACAACCACTGCTGTTGCTGTTGCTGCCACTACTACTACTCTGCCTTCTACCATCAGTATATCAAATCCTACTTCTATCGGTGTTACAATGACACTTCAACCATCACCACCACCTCGTAATGTTCCTTCCCCATCGTCTTCCACTAGTATTCCTGCTTTTCCTAGTTGTCCCATTGTAGACTTAAGAAAAGCAACGAATGAATTGAGTAATCGTGTATTGTTGAATAGCAGTAGCGATAGGAAAACGCCGGTTAACTACAATACTGCTACTACTACTAGTAACAATAATAATAATAGTAGTAGTCGAATAACAAAAAAACAGCAAACGGATAACGCCTCCAATCGGCATAGACATATTCGACCGAGAACACTAGCTGAATTGGTAAGTCAGTTTATCCATGTATGCATATATTGATTGGTAATATGACTGACACGAGAAGCTTAATGTTGATATCCCTGGAGATGACTAGATGAAACGATCTGGAAAGTATAAGCAGTGGAATCTAGCTTAATGAGTGTTTTCTCCCATTTAAGATATACCTAAACCTCAATCTGTGATGATGTTGTTCCCACTCCGGAGACTCGGACCAAGGATTGATCACTTCAAACACCATTGAGTCACAATAACCTACTGTTGTACATCGGGTAGTAGTCATTATTTGCTGATATACTTGTAATCCTTTATTCTTTTCTGATCTCTTTTAGGGTTATTTTTGGATACTTCATCACTAGGGTTACGCTATTTTTCATACAGCAGTGAAACATAGAAAGATATCTGTTCACTTTGAGTGTTATTCACTTGTAAGTAGGGGATGGATTTTTCTTGATTATATTGTTCTTTCAAGTGGGTTGTTTAATCGTGGAGAAGCTTTCATTGTCTTTCTCCTAGACGACATCATCACCATCAACTTTACTGTGAAGTGAGTGACCTGTCAATATCTCTCCGTGAGGGATTTAGTAGTACGCTCTGATCAACCAGTTTGTGATTGGTTGTTTCAGTCGATTGTTGTGTCACTAACCGACTGCATAGATTTTCCTGTTGGCCGTTCCTCTGCTTGACCTCTGACCCTTCTGTCGTTTATCATTTTTCTCATTGGTTGATAGATTGGGTCTGTGTCTATACATTTATTGATTGATTGACTGAATCACGTGAATGCCAAGCTTCTAAGAATTCTCTGATGATATTCTTTGTGTTTCCTCTCTTCATCCAACATTTCTAAATTGTCACGACGTTTAATAGCCGATTTGTGTTCATGTAGACGAAGGAGAGGGTGGGCGACCACTTTGTATAATGTAGAGTTGACTGCAGGTATTCCAGTTGATTTTGTAAATGATATTGGGTTTGTCTTCTTTGGTTGTTGCATCCTTTGGTCTGGATAATAGTGTTTGGAAGGAATTTGTTGACTTATGAGCTACATGAATTCCAAGTGGTTTTAGTAATCTTGTCATGATTTCTAGGATGATGCGTTTATTGATTTCTGTCGATGACTTTGGAGTTGATGATGTATGCGATGGGCATCACAAAGCGTAGAAAAATACTTTAAGTATCATTTAAAGAAGATTTTTACATATTACAAGATACATAAACTCAGACGCATACTACAGAACACATATTGGGAGATATTTGTAAATGATACTCTGAATGACATAGTCGGTTGTTACTCATATCTACACAACGAATCGCTATGTGGACGATACTTCTGTCATCATTAAAAAAGACGATATAGAAAACACTCACAGTTTGATCAACAGCGGTCTTACTTAGGACATAAAATTCACAATACAGAAGGAGTCGAACAACCAACTATCATTCCTGGATGTTCTAGTCAGTAGGACAAATGCCGTAAAGCTGGAAACCCAAGTGTACAGGAAGCCAACACAAACTGGCTGATCAAATCCTCAACTATAGTAGCAACAACCCAACAATGCACAAAATTGGTTGCGTGCATAATCTATTCAAAAGAGCAAGAACACACTGCAGTACAACAACTTCACAGAGAAACGAAGAAAATTACTTGATGTCCATTCTGAAGAAGAATGGTTACCTTTGGGACTTTATCAGATGCCGATCCCGTACATTATCAACTACAAAGTCATCGACAGAAATCAATAAACGCATCATCCTAGAAATCATGACAAGATTACTAAAACCACTTGGAATTCATGTAGCTCATAAGTCAACAAATTCCTTCCAAACACTATTATCCAGACCAAAGGATGCAACAACCAAAGAAGACAAACCCAATATCATTTACAAAATCAACTGGAATACCTGCAGTCAACTCTACATTATACAAAGTGGTCGCCCACCCTCTCCTTCGTCTACATGAACACAAATCGGCTATTAAACGTCGTGACAATTTAGAAATGTTGGATGAAGAGAGGAAACACAAAGAATATCATCAGAGAATTCTTAGAAGCTTGGCATTCACGTGATTCAGTCAATCAATCAATAAATGTATAGACACAGACCCAATCTATCAACCAATGAGAAAAATGATAAACGACAGAAGGGTCAGAGGTCAAGCAGAGGAACGGCCAACAGGAAAATCTATGCAGTCGGTTAGTGACACAACAATCGACTGAAACAACCAATCACAAACTGGTTGATCAGAGCGTACTACTAAATCCCTCACGGAGAGATATTGACAGGTCACTCACTTCACAGTAAAGTTGATGGTGATGATGTCGTCTAGGAGAAAGACAATGAAAGCTTCTCCACGATTAAACAACCCAATTGAGAGAACAATACAATCAAGAGCATCCACTTAAGCTACAAATATTCTCCATCATTTCATAACGAAAGGATTTGTCTTTGTTTAGTTGATTGATCAGTTTTTCGTAGGGTGTATATATTAGTCAAGTTCCTAGGTGTCAGTTAACTACCATTCGATTAGAATAACACATGTGATATAGGAAGTCACAGTTTTTGAGCTTGTTGCTTGTTATTATATTCTTTCCATGATCGACAATGTTGATAAATTCTCTGATTTACCAATATATCAGTGTTGATTGATATTCTTTTTGTCTTCGATGGCTAGTAAATCCTTAGATATTCTACAAGGATATGGTCAGTTTGTGTGTCATACTGATGGTGAATGAATGAATTAGTCGATTGGCACTTCTATTTACTGAATAATTCTGTATCACTGCATCCTATATCGAATAGACTAATCAGTCATATGTAGAAATAAAGTGCCTAGATTCAAACACTCAGGCATTCCTGTTTCAGTGGATAACACTGTAATGTTTGAAGTGACTGGTCCGGTGTTCGAGTGTTCTCAGTAGAAACACTAACTTTCAATGGGGAAGGGTTGCAGTTACATCCCTCTGACCAGTCAGTCCTAAATAGGAGAAAATGTGCATTCTCGATTTCACTGTTAGCCATCAAATCAACTACAGCATTGAAAATAGACTGATTTCATAGTAGATAAAAGTGTATACGGAGGAGAGGGAATTCCTAAATCTCGATTTGGTGGGAACATTCAAGCTTTGAAAGACATCAAAAAGTTTGCTGACATTATATGTTGAGATTGGCGGTGTTTCGGTATGTGCAACATCTGATGGACAAAGTTACCTGGAGGATCATCTGTGGCGTCGACCAGCGTGATATCTGATTATGTAACAAAGGACGAGCATACTACGCTACTACAGTCCGTTCCGTCGTCTTATACGACTGAAACACCCGTTAAAAGTAGAAGTCATGAAGCGATTAAAGGGGTTTGATCACAGATGTCATCAAAGCAGTGCTCGCACGTTGTGGAATCACCATATGAACAATGTTGAGGTCAACTGAAGGGCTTGCAAGTCGATTGATGAGGTTCTGAATCTTAGTCGACTGAGGTGGCTCAGACATTCACAGCGCATGCCAAACCACCACCTACCTCTTCGTGCCATGTTGGTTTAGGAAGTTGGATGAAGTTAGAAGAGAGTTCAAGGTGGCCAGAACAAGATGTGATGCTAGTCGATCAAGTCTCTGATTGTTGGTCTTAGTCATGTGGGGAGGCGCAAACAGCCTGGTTGGGGTCCCCGCGATGATAGATAACAGTGGTTGAAGACTGTTTGGTGAAATGGCGCAGTTGTATTCACTCTTTGATGTCTCTTCTAAGGCTTGAATATTTACACTAAGCGTTTACTTGTTTACTTTGATTATCGCCTTTTTTCTATCCACTCGCTCTCTGCTTACTTCTTTGAAGTGTGTCAACTTGAGACGATTTACCTGTCTAAAAAATTCAGTATTGATTTTATCAATTGATCACTTCTGAATAAAGATATCTTCAGTGATGAAGTGAAAATTTCATCGATTGTCTTTACTTCTAGCAGATCCATCAATTTTCCTACATCCTTATACTTTAAACTTTAGATGACAAGATGGAGAAAGAGTATCAAAGACTTGAAAAGGTTATATTTGAAGAGTAATTTCTGTCTATAATAAAATATGTGAAAAATGTTTACCAGAAATGAACTCTTCTAGTTGGTTCTATGATATGACTCCTTATCGAAATCCTTCGAGAGTTTTGTATTGTTTTGATGTAAATTTTTTAAGCTTTTAGTAAAGATTTCAACCAGATAAAATTAATGTGTATATCAGTCATTATGGTACATTGGTAAAAGCTTCTACAATGGTTATCTAATCATACATTATTTCTTTGAGAAAAAACTGTCCGAAAGTGTGAAAAAAAAAAGATATGCACGTTCAAGTATGTTGATGTCAGTTGATTCATCAAACTAATCGACTATTGTCAATATTTTCAACTAACTTAGAATTCACTAGTCAGCTGGATATGTTTACCTGTTATTTCCTTATGCAATGATATTGTTCCCATATGAGAAGATTCGAAGACAAGGAAAATCACATCAAACATTAGAGTGTTATCCATTAGGTCAATGAATCGTAATAACCACTGCTTGTATGATGGGGTATAGTATATAGTTTTCGTTTTGATGTTACAACATCTAAATCCTTATCGTTTATTGGACGTGAATCGATTCTATATTTTTATACATTTTATATTAAAACACCAAGTTGAGAAACTGACCAATAAGATGTATGCCAATAATGAAAAAGGATTCAGTTTAGCCGAAGAAATAAGATGATACGATATTTAAATGTATTTACGTGTCTTAAATCTTTGAATCTTTCCTGAAGCTTAGATCCTGATGGTGTTTCTAGTATTATATTTAGGAAATATTCAGATATTTTATGTTATCCCCTTACAGATATCTTCAGTGTATCGTTTTCTAAAAACATAATACCAGACTGCTTTGAAGGAAATCAAAATTGTATACCTGTGCCTAAGTCATCTGGGTCAGATGTTAAGTCTCGATTCCTTTTTTGAAAACAATGGAGAGCTTACTTCTCCTTGTTATTGAGCTTTTGTTGCGGGTTTTCAGAGATCTTAAACAATTTGTTTAGAAACACAAGAGAAATACTTTGAACACTGTCGCTCTACACTCGACAAAGGTGTTAAGTATGTTCGTTGTACCTTTTAGGATGGATTACTCTTGTTAAGTAAGCTTCCCATAGCTCATTTTGAGCCATGGGTTACAAAGTGACTGTACTGTTACTTTTCTGAAAGGAAAGAGGACATTGTCTATAAAGGGAAGCGCTTGACTTCATCGCTTACTGAAACTGGTGTGCCTCAATATGCTGTAGTTTTGCCTTTTCTGTCTCCGTTCTTTTTGCACGATTTACCTCATTCTGTTGAAACAAATTTAATTGAGTATGCTGATGACCTGACGGTGTCTATTCCAGTTAGCTCTCACTTATATTGAACTGAATTAAATGGATTTTTTTCTGTAGTTGACCAATGGGCTGTCTCAAATGGTCTCAAGTTAAATCCTTCTAAGTGTCAGACTGTTGATTTTAGCCTCAGGCGTAGACAAGACGGACTTGTGTGAGCTGCTTAAGTCTGATGACTCCTGTTGTATTGATGGTATTTGTGCATAGAGTAAGCCGATTGTTAAGTATCTTGAATTGAGTTATACTTCTGAGTTTTGTTGGTTGTCTCATATCTTGTTGACTTCCAAGACAATCTTTCGTTCAACATATTACGTAAACAAACTGGGGTTGTCTGGTATAAATCATTGCCTTTACTTTTACAATTTATTGCTTCCTGGATTTTACCTATTCTTGTATATTGTTCCCCATTGGTGTCTCCTGATCTTCTAAGAAACGACTAAGTTATGTTGTGTAGGGCTTTAAGAGCCTTCAGTCAGTAAGGTGTGTTGTACCTCTGGCGCAACTGACAGACATTTGAATTCTAGCAAATAACTAGCTACGATAATTTTAATTGACACTGAGTATCCACTTCATTCACAGTTCTCTCTTTTTCTCTCTGCTTCTATCTCCCCTCAGGGAGGACATGAAGAAATATATAAGACTGTACGATCGTATAATCAAGTAGAAGAATTCGACCGTGTCTTGTCTAGCACGTATATTATATGAGAAAAAAACGTGTTAGAATAGAACTTACATATAAACTTTATAAGAGTAAATAATCAATCTTTCCAATACTTTAATTAAATATATAAAATTCTCCCATTTTTTTCTTAGATATTCTGTATACTACTTAAATTCTTGTGATAATACTATTCAAAATGTTGTCGAGATGGGTATACATACACTTTGTTGTTACTGTTGGAATATATCAGGTTAAGAATTTCAAATTATACCGAAAATCGTTTGGAATAAAGTGACTATTATTATTATTATTATTATTAAAACTGAGGCAGCAGAACACAAAGATATTTGTGGTTAGTAGAAGTTCTCAGTTCCTATTCACACTTGGATCCTGTGTTGTTGAAGCGAGTTGTTAACATCTATCATTCTGTGGGCTTAGGTAGAAGTAAGTGGCTTGTGTAGGCTTCAATCCAATGGTAAAACAGTTTGCCTAGCCTAATGTTTAAGCTCCTAGTATCAGTGTTGTGTGTGTGTGTGTGTGTGTGTGTGTGTGTGTTTAAGGTTCGTTTTTAACCTCTGGGTAGTAGGTAACAGGTAAGACATCCAGTGTGAATAGTAGAGTTTAACGTTGAATAAAACCGTCTAATATCATAATTGATCTAACCTCATGTAATTTACTTTCAGGTAGCTGAACCATCACTATCAACATATCATAATGAAATGGTGAATTCGAAATCGCCTAGTCGACCTACGTCAACAATGAGTCGTTCATTCATTGTGACTACAAAACAACCGAAAAATACAACAAATCATAAGCTGTCCAAAACACCAGATGAGTCGAAACTACCCTCTGCACCATTGGAACGTTTAAAACTATGATCAGTATCCTTTGTGTGTGTGTGTGTGTGTGTGTGTGTGTGTGTGTGTGTATATGCTGTTCATTTAAGAGCGCCTTGTATATTCGCCTTCTCTCCCCTTCTCTTTTGTGTACTTCACAGTCCTTCTTCGATGTAATTGGCATTCTTCTGAGCATATTTTGTTGCATTTAGTTTAGTCATTGTCTTGTTTCTTACCTAATCTATCTTAATGTGTTTACTGTCTGTGTACTGAGTTTTTCTAGGTGGAGTGAGGATGGTGCAGGGGTGATTTGTGTGTTGTTTTCTCTTTGAGAATATCGTTTTCCATTATATTTTGTTTACATGGTTGTAAGCAGTACTGTATCACAGTGAGATGCGTTTCACTATTATTATCTTTATTTGTGATTTCAATTTGTACAAAACGCCATTTTTGTTCGATCCTTTGCAGTGTGTGTGCGTTGCTACAGGTTCTTCTGTTACCGACGTCCGTATCCCTTGCACGCCGATCTCTGTATCGCTCTCAGTCGGCCTATCTGGTTTTCTTCACTTATAGAATTATTTACCTATTTTCATTTGTGTGTTCTCATCAGGATTTCTTTTATTACTACTATGATATACAAATGTATATTGACTTATATACATATATGAATGTATATTTGGTTATTGAAACGCTTGTATAGACGATTATCATTATTGAAACAAGGTATCATGCTTTGAGAACCCTGTGACCACTAGGTGTTTTTTAAGCCTTCAGATAGACAGATGAAGTCAACGTAGGACCTTGTACACATGTCCACCGACTCAAGTCGCCACACTTCAGGTCAGTATACAGAAAACAGATGAATAGAAAAGGAGTAATATCAAAGTAAACGAAGGTGTATGGGTGGAGAGGGAAGTTAGAAATGAAGGTCAGTCGAAGCATTCAAGCTTTAGAATATATCAACAACATTGATATAGCCTTGTATTACATACAGAAATGCATACAACTATATAGCGATCGACTCTTGAACAATAACCTCAGACTTCATTTTCGATGGTCGTTTGATTCCTCGAAAACAGAAAGAAGCAGCAAAACGATAAAGATTTATTGTTCAGTCGAATGTGTATACAAATTAACAATTTGCGTACATTGTTTGATGGAGTTGGAAAGTTCTACACTTTTTAGGAGAGCTCACACGTGGTTTTGCCGAACGTTCGACATGCTATGATTGACTGTGAAGGCTTATCAGGGATTTCCAGACTTCTTTGAGGAACCTAGAGGGTATTGTAGTACTCCGTAACAGCCATTGTGACTGATTTTCAGCCATTTCACCAAAAGTTCTCAACCACTGCTTCCTACTATCGCGGGGACCCCAACCAGGTAGTTTGCACCTCTCCGGACGACTTAGACCAACAGTAAGAGACCTTATCGACTGTTGCCACTTCTTGGTCTGACCATCCCGAACCCTTTTCCAACCTAATCCATCCTCCCGTAGATTGGCGCGTCGGGGTAGGTGGTGCTTGCTCGGCATGCGCAGTACATTTCCAAACCAACTCAGCCGGAGGTGGTCTAGTTCCCTGATCGTTCTCATCTTTAGGAAAGGAGTTTTCTTCTAACAACTATAGAGGAATCAGTCTAACCAACATCGATTCAAAGAACTTAGCGTTCATAGTTATCCAACACCTAACTAAGGGTAGAGAACAGCAAACTCAAGGAAACTATGGTGGTTTCAGACCTTAACAAAAGTGAATATATCAGATTTTCAGCCTCTGATAGGTTTTGAAACACAGGCATACTTAACATCAGTGAAAAATTGTCATATTTTCTAACCTGAAGGTAGTATTCAAGTATTTTGACCGTGGGGTGTTACATCAGTTTCTGACCCAAGGGAATACGGAGCAAGTATACAACATTACTAAGAAATCTCTACTCGAACTCACTCTGTCGTGTAACGACTTATCGTCTGAAGTTACGATAACCAGTAATCTCCCCTTAAAGTGCTCACGACCATTATTCTTGGTTAACGTTTGCATAGATACTCTAGGTACCTTAGATACTTTTGACCTCTAAAGGACCGAAGTACATCTAGAATGGCAACTGGTTGACTGCAAGCACGGAAACGACATAGTTATGTTGGTTAAATATGCTGACAAAGTGGAGTCTCTTGAATGTATGTTTGACATGCTTTTCGCACGGGTCAGATGTAAACTGATTATTTAAAACTGGTTTACGGATAGAAAGTGGTGGTTAAAAGTGTTAACCACTTACCTTAAGTCGAAAACTGCATGAACACAGATGGGGAGATCTCTAAAGAAATCTCAGCTCAGATTCACATACCATACTAGGCATTTGCCAATCTATACGATCTCTGGCCCCAGCGAGACATGCCACTATCTGTTTTATCATACAGCTGTGAGACATGGCATCTGAGAGGAGATGCCAACACACTACCGGCGTCTCCGCAGCACTGCTTATGTCACTTGGGACCACTATGTGAACAATAACAGTGTTAAGTGGAAAGTATAAGACAAGTCAGTCAATGAAATTCACAATCTTTATCTATTGACATATCTTCACCATATGCACGCACATTTCGCCATCTACTACTTCGATATTCGATGTCCGTCGAAACATGATAACGTTCTTAAACTATTGGTCCATGTAGGCTGTTTAGAATAGGTCATGGAGAGGGGAGAAATCAATGGCTGCAGTCTCTGAATGAAATAGCTGACTGCCAGGTGAAGTGGTGTAGATGTGTATGCCCAGTTTGTCATCATTGAAGTTTTGAGCATTACTTTTACCTTATAACTACTTAGTTTCACTTCACTCTCCTAGACAAACTTGTCTACTTTATTATCCTTTTTTCTATCCACTTCTCATTTGTATATTGCTACCCATTGCTCTCGAAAGCTGAAAGTTGTAAAACTATATGAAAGCTGATATGGGAAAATAGTGACAAAATTCAAAACTTTGGTTGACTTCAATTTTGAAACCTGACACTGAATGTCTGCAAACATTACGGAGAATATCATTCATGGGTGGTAGTATGATAGATAACTCTGAAATTTCGGCACTAATATGGACACAGAGTAACTTTTGAAAAGAGTAACAGACATATTACAGTCTGAACCCTTTTTTTGATAGATTTACAACAAGAGCTGTCTAACATCATTCGATGAACCATTGAAAACCTGGGACCCAGTTGCTGGATCATTAACGCGTTTTCCGTCAAACTTGTAGTTCCTGAGTTTGACCGTCAACAGAGTCATAGGCTGCTGAGGAATCCTATACTAGAACAAAACAGACACAGTCCAGTGCTCCCAGGTCTCTAATGTTTCTAACACTCATGTCAGTCTATGATGAGTACCAATCTCAAATCAGTAAATACCCACAAACCTTCAAATTAAAACAGATTCATCAATTGTAAATAAGATACAATTTTCCCCTATGAATTACGTTGTCCTTCATATCCTTGATTCTGATTGCTCAGTGCATATTTGCACGTGATTGGCCGTCACTAAACTCTAGGTTTCTCCCTTACCAACTTAATTATTTCTTTTACTCAGTACAACGATCTACACGAGTAATGCTCACTCGGAGATTCTATCAAAAAGGTATCACAAATCAAATATACTTACCCTTAGTATCATAGGTGACTTTTCTGCCATGAAGTGGAATACACTAGGAGTAAAATGCTTATCTGCCCACAGCTTTGGAATTCATCCAGAAAAGTAACTACAACAAAGCTGAGTCAAAAATGGAGTGAAATCCCATGAAAACCCTAGATAACCTCACTTGCTAACGCATGCTTCACAATGAAAATAAGCAATCACAACACCTACCACCTAATATTATCTCCGATAACGCTTACTTTGAATAGTGTAATCGAAATCACAAGCTTTTACTCTGAAAACTGACCACTATCCACAGAGTCAGAACTGAAACCTATTTAGTCATTGTATATCCGTTGCAGTTGCTAGTAAGCGCTAATTATGCGTAAAATGAATATGTGGAGCTGGTGTGCAAGGTGTGAGTAGTCAGGACCTATGTGTGGCCTATTGTACTACACATGTATTTGTATGTACATGCTCAGTTACAATCTTTCAAACATGCTCCAGGCATTTAAGCAGTAATAAAATACTCTATGATTTGATTCTCTCTCCATCAGCTGGAACAACCAATGAGAAGGAGAACAATGATCAACTGAAATCCAATTCAATCTATTTGGTATTTATTGTATACCAATCATCAACAATTCTGAATTTATTGGCTCAGGTTTCCCGCTTTACTGATAGGTAGTGAAGTGGTGGAATGTGTTGACCACTTCACTTAACTGAGGAGTTGCATAAACCCGAACGGTCCAGTTACTGGAGAAAACTCGGTATGCTACACTGCGATTCCTTCTATTCCGTTATATTGCTGGGAGATATGGCGGTTAAAAGAAGAGAATATGAAACGGTTGTAGGGTTTTGATCACAGGTGTCTTTGTCGCATTGCTCACCTTTTTGGTGGAATCACCGCGTGAGCGATGTTTGCACCAGGCGAAGGGTAATAGGCAAGTCAATCGATAGCGTTGTAAAGCTTAGTAAACTGAAATAGCTTATATTTTACATGCTATGCATCTCGCTCCATAGCATACATCCACCCACCATTCTAGGGGATGCTGGATTGGGTTGGAAGAGGATTCACTGTGGCAAGACCAATATGTGGCACCAGTCCACGAAGTCCTTGACTGTTGATGTGACTCTATGGGGAGATGTAGACTGTCTGGTTGGAGTCCCCGAGACAGTAGGAATCAATGGTTGAGGACTGTTGGTAACATAGCTGCAAATTGGTGACAGTGGTGTAGATTCATTCACTCCTTGACACCTACCGCGAAGTGTGGCAACTTCAAGTGTTCCACTAGTGTGAGAGGTACCACGTCGATTTCATTGATCAGTCAGTCAGTTTCAGGAGTAATGCTCATGGAACATTCATAGTGACACGATAGTAGTCAACCAAAGTGTAGTCGAACTGCCGTTGAAAGAGTTACACTCCCATATCTCAAGGTGAAACAGTAGGTCCCCTCCCTTCCAGACGTCATTGTTAACCATCACATTCTCTTCTTCTACACCAGCAAAATTATTTTCGTCAAAATAACCTCAAAAGCTGATAGACTATGATAACAAGTCAGTGTGTATAAACAATTCAGAGATTACACTATGCAATAGAGACATATCAACAAGAATGTCGGTTTGAACTCCCGTCGTGGCATTCAAGACGTACGTTTTGTCCTAGTTGGGTTTCATAAGTTGGATCTACCTACACCCCAGTGAATCATGTTGTTCCCGCTCAGATCAGAAACCGAAACACATCACGTCAAACACAGATCCTCGATTCCCCTCCTAGATACCACATAATCAACAAACCTCATCACTACATAGATGATCACATTATATCCCGTTGAATATACCGATTTACATATGTGCGCGGTGACACATATATTGGAAGGAGTAATTGAACTATGACATTAAGAGTGCTGGAGCATATTCGTTATTATCATATCAATGTGTATTCACACAGGTTTCGACCTCTGATGTTTATGGTCCTATCACCACCTCACGTTCTTTGTTTCTTTATTGGTAGTAAGACTTTTCATATCTCTGGTATGTATAGATGTTGCATCGTACCGATTACATGTGTTGGGTGGGTGTTCGACTGAACTACAGTGATTTTATCCCACCCTAAATTATGTGGTTCTCTGTTGATGCATACATTGCATTAGGCGAGTTACTTTCTAAATTATTGATCTTATTCGGGTCTATCATTCTAAATTTAGCTAAATTCCTATGTTCCCCCATTATAACTCACCCCGATCGACTAGTGTCACCTATGTAGTTGACCTCGCAGTCACTACATGAAAGTTGACAGATTCGATTATTTTACCGAATTGTATCTATCGGATACTTAAACCAACAAAGCTTATCTCTGAGTGAATTTGTACGTTTAAATGCCAACTTAATCGAAGCTTTGTCGAGAATCCTACGTAAATTTTCATATGTTCCTTCTTATATGATTACACAATAGAAGCTTTGAACTCCTTTCTTCTCGTGTTCTTGCTATTATGCATATTCGTATTACGTTCATCATCTATATAGACAAACACATTACAGAAGTAGGTCACAGGATTGATTCTCAAAACCGACTTTAGACCATTAGATAGAACCTGTCAAGATTGTATACTTAGACTCAATCAAGCCTTAGCTATACAACAGTTCAAAGTCCCATCTCATGTATTCATAGACAATTTATCCTCACCTGAAAACTTCCTCGGTAAGCTTTATCTCATTTTAATGCCAACGCAGATGTGAAAATGTATTATTCGTTTGCTTTTCGTCCAATCTCTAATTATCTAAACTAATTACTTTATTAACCCCCTCCTTGCATACCGATTTGAATTGACAAGCAAACTATGTACAACCAGATTGCTCGAAATGTATTGCGCAAATACGTTACACACATCGCTAAGATAACATAACCTCCATCTATCTTATTATACTGAGCCAATTTATCAAAAGGGACGAATTGTTTCAAGTAAGAATGTTACTCGGTAATTTGATAAACAAATTATAATTCATTGTCGGATAGTGATAATCCTTTCTTCTCTCTTCATCTCTCTGTGAGTTTACTGACGGCTAGTAGGATCACTTGAAAAAAAACAACATTCCGACGCAACGATAGTAGATAGATAAAATCAGCATTGTGTAATTCCTTCACAGTTGGATTATCACAGGAAACCCCCCAATCGAAGTCAAAACAACTGACAGGAGCCACATCAAGCGGTTAATACCTTAGTATAGTAACCTCACAAACCGACCTTTTTGCGTATACCTACGGAATAAGAAAATCTACTCAAAAACACGATAAAACAAAATCACAATATCATCACATTCAATATTTCGCTTGACAACGAAGCTGATATAACAGTTGTAATTTTTCAGAAAAGACGCTGATCGATATCAGCATAGTCACTGTCAAATGTATGCAATCGAACGTAACCTTCTTCTCCACCGGTAGCAAATCTGAAACATCAAATAAAAAACAAGAGTATACACTAGTGGTTTACGTATACCGCCATAATAGAATTGCAATTTACAAAACAAGTCCTCACAAACCCTCCAAATTGAATTAATCTAGTGCTCATTTGGTGACTAGCTTCGAGAGGTGATTCCTGAAGTTCCAGTGAGAAGTTGTGACCAGTGGGGCAAACCTGGTGGACATGAGTACGAACACTCAATAATGATACTAGGTGATGGTCGCGTTATGTACCACTGGACTCCGGACCAGTGGCTAAATGGTAACATGTTGGTCGTGGAACCTGAAGGTCTTGGGTTCGACCCCTAGCACAGCAGGACGGAGTCATGGGTGCGGACTACTGAGGAGTCCCATACTAGGACGAAACAGATCTCCAGTTCTCCCAGGTTTCCAATGTTCCTCCAACTGATATCAGTTCATGATGAATTCCAGCCTAAAGTCAATTGATAAACCTCCACAAACCTCCAGATAGAATCTAATGACTATTGTTGAGACAATAAAAAGCTCTTCGTCAACGGTCTGTCTTCTCTTTTTGTCTTCGCATGTCGGTGGTATTTGTTGCAGTTGACGTTCTGATTTGCGTTAGAGTAGATCCCTTGGCGTGTTAGGTTCATATTACTCTTAGTCTGCTATGTCGTACTACCGGTTATAGCAGTACTGTAGACGTATTTGAGCAACCCATATATTTCGCAAACAATCTGATCACACAGATAAACGTACTTGTCATAGGCATATTTATATGAAAAATTGCAGAGTTAAGGAGTGGGCGAGAATGATTACGACAACTGAAAGTCAAAATAACAACAAAGCAACAAAATTCATAGTAAAATAACCTTGAGTGTGAGAAGCTGAATCTACCAAAGGTTTACATATACGGACAAAGTGTTTTTGAATGCATAAAGGTTGTTTAAAACCTCCCTCCTAATGATTAATACCGCGACAAACTTAAACATGCATCCTAACAGGCCTTGCAGATGGGCTTAATTGACTTTTGTACATCTATTTTATGCTTCTGTTAGCATAATATATAACAGTGGACACCTTAGAATAAGTCATCAACTAGTTTGATGCAGAGTATGATTCCATAGCCAATAAAGCAGCTCACTCTTCTGTTATCCCTACTGGTTATCCTATCTCTATTCATGCACAAACAGTAAGCTGCTTTTAACACATCCACAACAGATATCCTAAACCTTGTTTTTTTCGTGTCAGTCAGAGAACAACAGATTAGGTAAACTTTGATAGATGCTGGTTGGAGGCAATCGGTTGGAAGCTCTGCACATCACCTAGGTTTCATGCTTGTCGGCAGTCGTCAAAGGGACTGATATTCCCTGTTGGATATGAACCCGGATCACGCAATGTTGTAGTCAGCAACGTTACCACTGAGCTATCCGGGTTGCGACTCACCCCTCCTGTAGGAATGACTGGATTAGACATGTCGATTGCTCACCAGTGACTAATCAATATAGATAAGGGGAACCTATACTGTTTCAAATTGTAAGTGTCAATCAACCCTGGAATGACGTGAAAAAGGTTCTTCTATGAGCTTTCAGTAAAAAAGGGCAGTACTCACTAAGTGTTAAAGTCTAATACAATGAGAGAAAACAAAAACGTTGTCAGCCCTCTGACACTGCTTGGTTTCTCCAAAATACAACCGGACATTGTCGGCGTGTCTCTTATCTGCTGAGTTAACTGGCAAGATATCAGACTATCTTTCAAAAGGAGTTTACTGCGCTGCGGTTCGTTCTCTTCTGTTATATACAGCTGTGTGAAATGGTCGTTAAACGAAGAAGACAGGAAGCTATTACATGATTTCGATCACAGGTGTTTTTGCAGCATTCCTCACGTTTGGAGGATTTACCGTGTGAGAAATATTGAGATCAGATGAAGAGTACTAAGAAAGATAGGCAAGTCAGTCGATGTGGTTGTGTTGCGCGTCCCCAGCCACCGTCTACCTCGACGTCCTATTCTAGGGGAAGCTGGATTAAGTTGGAAGAAGGCTCATAGGCGGCAAGTCTAAAGCCTGGCAACAGTCGATGAAGTCTCTTTCTCTCGATCTTAACTACGTAAAGAGGTGTAGACTACCTAGTCTTGGATCCCCAAGACGAAAGAAATCAATGGTTGAGAACTCTTGGTGTGATATGGCTGAATATCAATCGATCACAATGGCGCAGATGTGACGTCTTCAAACTCCTAAATATTTGCACGATTTATTCTCCCACACAACTTTGTATACTTTGATATAAGTCTTCTTCTATCCACCTATTCTTTGCGTACTACTGAGCTAGCTCACTACACTGTGAAGTGGGACAACTCGAGGTGATGCATTTAGGTGTATGCGAGGCTCTACGTTGATTTTATCCTATCGGCTTGTCTGTAATTGAATTGTTTAGTCCTCAAAACATTGGAGAAACATTATTAGCTGTGTTCATCCCATCAGGATTGATACTCGTGTACACTCTTTAAACAGCTGCTTACAAGAGTAAACAGAATTCATAAAAGCAGACCAATTAAACTAATGGATCTCTTTTGAAAATTATTCTACTCAACAGCAACTACTTTTCAATCAAACGATAAAATTTCGTCAGAATAGTATACATTGAAGTGCCAGGTAGCTGGACACAGATTCAGCGAGGGGCGGGTAGGACACCTGTAATTGAAACGCAGTTGATAATAGAATAATTTTGAAATTATAAAACAACTAAACATACCCACTACCATCGGGTATGAAAGCCACACTATTGACAGGACCAAAATGACCCTTGACACGTCCAAATTCTTCTTGGTAAATCAAATGATAGAATCTGACATCGAATTTTCCCTGTCCAACTGCTGTAGTTGTCACTTCATGGGCTTCTTGACCACCACCCACCAACACCTAATTTAAGTATGAATAAATAAACAAGGGCAAAAAAAATAATACTGCAGAGGAATATTATAACAATTTGAAAACTTTGAAACACGATAACACACTTGCAACGGATATAAATAGTGACTGTTCCCCCTGAGTGCCTTATATCTCACCAAGCCGCCAAAATCAGAAGGAAAAGACTGGCACATGACTGTAAGGTCAACATTTTATTCAAAGAAGGAAAAAAACATCATTTCTATACAGCAGCTTTCATAGAGACCGATCAATCCGGTCCAAGCAACGACTGTATTATATATAAACAATTATACTTCAACGTTAGTGTTGAATTTTCACAAATTCCACACAAACAGTTTGTGGATTACATGTTTAGTGAGTTTTTAACTCATTAGTCTACGTAGTCGGCTATCAATCACAGGGTTATGGGTTCCACACTTACTCTAACCACGTCAACTTGGGTGCCTAGGTAGCATCATGAGTCATCATCATCATTAACATCAACGCAGGAACAGACAATACTGCGTAACGGTTCAAGGTGCCACATCTTATCTCATATATCAGCACACCAAGTAACAAGGCAATAAAATGAAAGGTGAAGCAGTAAAAAAATAGGTCAGAGAGAGTAGAAAATAAGAAGAGAGAAGAAGGAAGAATGAGATGATGAGATTAAGTATAGCCGTTAAGATGAGGATAACGTGTGTGGGGATACATCTGAGCTACTGACATCGGTTCTGAGGCATATAACTTAAAGTCTCCAATCATAGGTTTCTCTTGTTCCATGGACCCCAACCGACTAGTCTACATCGCCTTTTGTAACAGTGCAGAGATTTTTTGGTCACTGATCAGCGCACCAGGGCTAGTCCGACTCCCAGGTAAGTGAAGTGTTCAACGCCCTCAACCATTACACTCTCTATTGTTAGTCGATATATCGTTGAAGACCAGTCCTGGAGCAATAATTTGCACTTGGGTGGCGAGAAACACATCATAAATATTCTCGAATTGCAACTCAAGATGTCCAAGAGACTCTGCATATTGTCAGCGTCTTCATCTAACAGGACTAAGTCATCTACGTATTATAGGTCTATCCCTGTGTAGTTGGATGTCGAGAAAGAGACATTTACAAGAACATCTATGATAAAATCGAATAGGAATGGAGAAGGCGGGGATTCTTGACGGACACCACTCGACGTACACATCTCATCATCATCTCATCACAGGCTGTAACACGCCCACAAGTGTCCAAGTAAACAGCCTTCAACAGGATGATGTACCCATTTCAGTAAGAAACACTGCTATAAGAGTACGTACAAACATATATCGGACTTCAGTTTCATTACTACTTGTCTCAAAAAAAATTCTACTTGTTTGAGTTTTGTGGGTACTTTTTTACGGAAGTCTAAGCCAATAATTCAATTGTTTCACATGTTGAAAGACCGAAAACAATGAAAAAAATTGACTTAATGGTAAATAAATACAAGACGAAGGAAGTTCTGGAAAAAAATCCTTCCCATTTTCATCTACATAAATGAACTATGGTTAAATGGTTTAGACATTTGACCTTCAACTACTCCATCACATGTCTGAATGTACTCGAACATCCATGAAATGGCCACTTCATGTATCCAGGAAGTTGGATTAACTTTGGTGGGTCAGTGGATTGACGAAATCTCTGCACGGATACGAAACGCTCGATTGGCTTTCAACAACTTACACCATCTATAGCACCACCGTGATATCCAGTTGTCGATCAAGGATCCAGTGTACTGTGCTGCAGTTTGTCCTGTTCTAATATATGACTGTTGAAACGACCATTAAAGGTAGAAGATATGAGAAGGCTTCAGGCGTTCGACCACCGTATCATGGACCATGTTTCATGGTGTCACCACATGAGTAACGCAGAAGTCAGGTGTAGAATTTTACAGAGAAGAAAGTTGGTTGCTGTGGTTGTGAAGCTTCATCGACTGAGATGTCTAGTCACAGTCTACCTCGTCGTACAACGTTACCTGAAGTAGGTTCAGGCTAAGGGTGGTCAGATTAAAACATGACATCAATGAATGAAATACTTAACTGTTGGTAGGGAAGTATAGACTTTCCCGGTTGATGTACACATGTGTACAAAGATGAGTATTTACGTTAATTCAAATAAGATAAAACGTTGTGACTAGTAGCAACTTACATGATCTTTAGTAGGTGAAATAGCCGCAGAATTAATCGGACGTTCAGTAGTATAGGTTCGGATACATTCCAAATCATAAGCACTAAACAGCTGGATACATTGTGAAAGTGATAAAAGTGAAAAGATAAGAAAGTGCACTAGTCAAACTAACTATCAAAACAAAGGTTATTATTATGGTCATCAATATGATGTAAAGAAACAGTTGTATGTCTAATTACCTTCTGAAGATATCCTAGAAACTCTTTTAGAAGAAGGTTTTTGTTTGTATAGACATATCCACATGGATTAGGAAGGATTTTCTATGATAATAAAAACACTCTCCTATAAGCTTACTGCACCCACCATTTTAATGACTGTTGTATAGATTACAAAAAAACTCGACATAAATTACTGTAGAATAAAAGAATTCAGGCGAAGTTGAACTTCGATTCGAAGGAAATTCACCGCTAATTGGTTAGTTCTTGATTATGGTAACACACCATCCCAATGGACAGTTAATCAAGATCTCGGCGATTGAGTCTACCGCCTACTGTGTCGGCAACACAATTAAAACTTTAAAATATCACAGTAACCATGTGAAGATTGTTGTATGGCAGTTAACTGTACCACAATGGCAAGTACTAGTTGATAAAGGTAATTTCTTTTATGAATAACCTCCCTTACAAACCTGAATATGAGCAAAACTTGAGCAATGTGAAATGCAATTCCAGCTTTGGTTGACTTATAAGATGTATCACACAGTGAAGGGACAGTATTATGTAACTGGATAACGTTTCAGAAACAATCTGTTATCTATAGTCATCATATCAAGATAACTACACAACTTTGAGACATCCTTCATATAGTCCTAATTTCTTCGCCCCATTTGTGTCATACGTAGTAAGATTTTGCATATATTGGGAACAGGTGCTCACTCATTCCTGTTGCTTCATGTATTAGGTATTGATTCGATCAACAAAGATTCGGTTATCAACCTCTCCTTTCACCCCGCTAGCTTAGTTTTAAGGATTTTCACCCTGTCCCATCCTATTGTGTGTAATTGTATGCATAGCTATGGCTGAACCTCCCTTCGCTAAATTCCTTATCATCCCAGCGTGTACAAATTTTGATCTTGTTAGGTTTTTGGGCTCGGATAGTCTAACTGACCCATGGGCGACTACTTTGATCGATGTATTTGACCTAGAAATCGTTGCTAGAGAATAGATAAACTAAATTATTCTGCTTAATTGGATCAACAAGATCTTTTAGTTAACAAAGCTGATTTCTAAGTGAGTTTTAAAGATTTAAATGCCACTATAGTCTCAGCCTTATTGAGAATCTCACGTAATGTCTCGAAGGTATCTTCATATTCTAGAAGAAGGGATAAAAACATTGACTACCACACCTAGAACCTGGTGGCCCAACTCCCAGCATACAATCCTTTCAACAGTAAATAGATTACAGGACAAAAGTATGGCAACATAAGTTACACCATTCACCTCAAAGACACAAAATATTTAAGATAAACATAGTTCACATACTTTTGCATTATGATCTTTTGATCCTGTTATCAGCATTGGTAGGTTTAGATGCATTTGCATATCTGTAACAGGTCCTTTATGCGGGTTGATATGCTTTATGCATTCTCCAGAACTAGCATCCAACATTGTCAGTGCACCAGACTCATGACCACAAATGATACTTCGATTAACTGGTCCCCATATCGCTCCAGTCACTTTAGATTTATCTGAAGATGTTTTCTTGAATATACAGGACTCTTGTGACATCTAAAATATGAACGTATGGAATAATAATTCTGCTTAGTACATAGATTTGTTTCGTCACTGTGCTTGTTGACTGAGGGTGGGATAGTGGAGAGTCTTTAGCAGGTGTGTGCAAGCTATATGCTGTTTCTGGTTATAAAAAAAATTCCAACAGTCATAGTTGTTGTGGGTAAGTACATGGCTTTCACTCATACTGAAGTACTTGTTTGAATTCTGATTAAGCTCATCTTGTGGAGCTGTGGATCATTATTCTGAGTAGTCAACTTGCAAAGAGTTGGTGATAAGCTCCAACCCCTTTCTACTTACATACGCATAAGCAATCAGGTAGCAACACTAACCCGCATACAATAGGTGTGGCACAGTTACTGTGAGTGCATTTCAACATTTTCAAAGCTTAACTGGAAAATGAAAAGTAATACCAAATGAAAATGGCGAATAAGGCCGTTTGAAGCTTGGGAAACGTTCCCCTGACAAATACTGCGTCCCGGTAACCTATGAACAAATTCTTGGTCAATTTTACACAATACAATAAATGGTTTGTGTTAGTCGCTTACGTGAAATACTACATAACAGTACGTTGAGACTATAGAGGTTGGCGGTTACAGAGCATTTCATAGATAAAAGTAAACGGCTGCATCTAGAAACAACTAAATACTGTTACAGCTCATCTGAATTACTAGAGGCAAGGGGACTAATGTCAGAGAGACAACTCATGGTAAAAATATCCACCAGATGGAAAATCTTCGAGGATTTTTAGAATGCCAAACCAAGCATTTCGAAAAGCAGCCCTGCTAACCTGCTGTTACAGTCAATTTTGACTCCTGACAAGTTTCACTAACATTGACTGATGTAATCAGATGAAGGACTCGAAATTAATCCGTGTAGGTAATTTTGAGCAATGTATATGATAATGCCAGTGAAAACCCCTAGAGTGTTATTCTTCTGCAAGTTTCTTCTCAAATATGGACTGATATGTTAATTCCCAGCAAAGAGGAGAAACAAAGAAAACGATGGGCTGAATACCATAAAAAATCTTGAGTCGACCACCCACCTACAACTTGTCCACAAATGACACCAGGAGCCACGGAACTATCAGTAAACACAAGCCCTCCAACAAAATCAGAATACCCTATAGCAATAAAGTTGCCAATAGCCGAGAAAGCAGCAGGACCAGATGGAATCCCGCAAGAAGCATTTAAAACATACGCAGAGACAACAGCGGACATGCTCACACCACTATTGCACAAGGTTTGAAAGGAGGGAAAGGTACCTGTTGATTGGAAGAAGAACTACGTTGTCAAACTCCCGAAGAAAGTAGACCTAAGTCTTTTCAAGAACTGGCGCGAAATCATGCTCCTGTCCACCACAAGCAAAACATTACGCTGCATCATCTTGGAGAGACTAATAAATGCTCTGCATTCAAAATTACGACCGGAACAGGTTGGCCGGCTTCACAAAAAACAAGTCATGTGGGGATCAAACTGCAACGCAACGCTATGCATCATCATAGAACAGAGTATAGAATGGCAGTCAACTCTCTACCTCAACTTCATCGATTTTGAAAAGGCCTTTGACAGCGTCGACCGACAAGTAATTTTGGAACTGCTTCAACGCTGCGCTTTTAGTGCCACAAACCTTTATCAACCTTATTCAACAGCCATATGACGACGCCACATGCCAAGTGATTCACAATGGAAAGTTCAGTGATGCCTTCGAAGTGAAGTGAAGACAGGAGTAAGACAAGATTGCAGCCTGCTATCACCGATGATCTTTCTGATTGTGGTCGACTGGATCCTGCAACAAACTGTGAGGAGCGAGATGGGCATACGCTGGCTAGACTGATGAAAAGACTCTAGAAGATTTTCATTTCGCCCATGGTCATTTATGTCTAACGTCTTATGTCGAACAAACTCGAAGATATGCAGGCGAAAACCAACAAGTTGGCAGAAGAAAGAGGCACGGCAGCGAAGACGGCACTTCCTTCAGGTGAACGTAGAGAAGACACAGGTGATGAAGATACCCAACCAACAACAGCAACCAATCACCACCAACGGGAGAAGACTAACGTCAAATTAGTGCTTCTATCTGATGGTTGAAAGACCTGGCGCGTTACGAAAAGCGTTCCCAACAAACTACAGGCATACATCAACATCTGCCGCCCATGCTCACTCCATACTGAAGATCAGATCAGAAGGCCATAAAGAATAAGCAAGGAGGAACTCTGGTCTGCCAACGAACCAACCAAGAACCTATCGCCCAACAAATATACATAAGAAGAAAGTGGAGATGCATTGGGTAGTCATAAAGCTAGGCTGAAAAGGCTGCAGAGAAGGCAGCGAAATGGTGACGTGCTACTGAAGCGCTGTGTCCCAATGGGAACCCAAGTGACAAATAATAATAATGTTAACTCCTGGGTCTTGAAAAACAAAGAGCGGCTCACAAACAGCCACATCCTAATCTGCCAACCCTCAAGCTGCTTCCAACCTGATCCAACTTCCCCTAGCACGGCATGTCGAGGTAGGTGGTGGCTCGGCATGCATAGTACATATCCAGGCCAGCTCAGTTGATAAAGGTTCACAGCCTCATCGGTTAACTTGCCTGCTTCGCCTAGAACTTTCCATCTGACCTCAACATTTCTCAAATGGTGATTCCACCATAAGCGAGCAATTTTACAAACATATCTGTGATAAAAACACAGCGATCGCTTTGTAACTTTTACTTTTAACGGTCATGTCTCACAGTCTTACAACAGGAGAGAACGGACTGCAGACCAGTTTACTTGTCTCCTCATAGATAGTTGGATATCTCGCCAGTCGGCGAGATATGCCAAACAGGCTTTCTGTATCCGAGATGACATTTCCCCAACTACCAGCCCGTTCAGACTGGTGCAACTCCGCGAGTAAGTGAAGTGGTCGACACATTCCACCACTTCACTCCCGATTATTAAACCGGGAGTACTTGCAGGAGACCAATCTTGGACCATCATCTTACATCTGACAGGTGCGAAACTTATGCCAAACATATTCAGATTTCTTCTCAACCAACTAGTGAAGAGTATGCGTTTATTAAAGATTGTATTTTTATCTCCTGCTAGATGCTCACGCATCTTTGTATTTATAGCGAACCGACGACTATTGTGTTACTTGATGTCAGAGGTGCCTTCAGTTCTCTGGATAAAGCGGATTCTGGGACTGTTTGCCAAAGGTGTCTCTAAATCTATCAAGATTTGGTACACCTTAATAAGAGTGTGACGCATAGGCTTGAACATTTGGTTTCTAACCAATGAGCTCAGTAATAGTTCAGCTGCGAGCTATTTCGGTGGTATTACGAGCAACCAAATGTGACTCATAGCCTACTGCATTAATAAGTAGGAGATTGAGCTGCACTAATTTTTTAGTTAGATTAATTTAAAAGCCTATGAAAAGACACATCACATAAAATAGCAACATACAGTCATGAGTGACATAATTATAGAAACTGTCTTAGGGTTCAGGGGTATTTGGGTATGGCGAACATCATTATTCAGGGATGACGTCATCTTGGATATTTAAATGCCGTCTCAGGAGCTTTCATGTCCGTCATTTTTCACTGAAGTAGAAACTGGTTTGTCAGTTCATGATGTAGCACTGTAATGCGGAAGATGAACGTGTAGAGTTAGCATTTACTAGTATACGAAGACTTCCTAAGAGGACCCCAGGAGATAATGCGAATTCAGTTTGTCAAGTTTTTAGATATGGCCCAGACCAAAAACCAGCAATCTTTCACCTACTTTTGAATAGAAAATGAAGCTTTCTAAACATATCTGATGTGGATGTTTGTCACTCTCTAGTCATTCTGTTAGTCACTATTTCCTTCATAATGTTATATCAGTTTTGTTGTACACCTTTTGTACTTGTATTGTACTGAGTTCGTGTGACGTCACTAGTTAAATGGGAGATTTAAAGAGGACATCTATCCCTGTCATTACGAAGCTGTTTCGCCAAACAGCATACAAACAACAGTCAACCTGGATCTTATTCAAAAATGATCTATGTCTTGAAACGGAAACACAGAAACCAGTCATCTTTATCCCTGATTCGCCCTTTGGCTTAGGTAAAGCAAAGTGAAAAATATTTATACCTTCTATACACGTCTGAGAAACATAGCATACACTCAGAACGCAAGAGTTTTAAGCTGATAAGACCTGATATTTATGAGGCTTGAATGTTGAACGATTCAACAAACAACTGAACACATGAACCTTAGAATAGTTTCAGTAGTACATCTTCAGTTTGAATGAGGAAACACCTTTATACTGAAGCATTCCTGCCCAATCAGAAGTAAGACTTTGCCATCAGCGTTACCAAGACGAATGGCTGCTCCTAATGTCATCAATATCCAACATCTATTTCTGGTATGGCGGTACTTTAGCCATTAGAGAACTGACGTGGAATGACGCGACAGACAAGTTTGATTACTAATTCTAGATAGCAGCTATTGGTTGGATGGCGGTTGCCAATGTGACCTATTTGTACTGATACGTGAACTTATTCTGCAGTCTGTTGATCTTATCAAGTTAACCAATGTCTCAGTTTGTGCCAAAAGTTAACTTTTAAACAGATGACAGTGGTCGTTGATACATAGCAAATAATCACGCCCATTGATTTACAAACCCATTCCTGTGAAAAGCTGTTTCTCCAGCCCTTTTCCGATATCGGAAGTTGATGGATCCGTAGCATGAGTTATAAATAAACACTGAAGTGTTTTCGTTAATCTGGAATTGTATTTAACAGTTTGACCATATGGTGTAAATGGATACCAACTGAGATGTTGCCAACAAATAAGTAGGTTAAACTTTCACTTGTACAGTTTAGCGTGACCTAAAAGGCTGCAGGAATCAGCTAGAAAATCGCTTGACATCTCATAAGTGATATTTGGTGAAGTAACAGCATAGCATAAAAATTGGGTTACACTTTAAGTCGAGTATATTGTGTGAAGGTAGGTTCCCATGCAAACTCAATTAG